AATTATGCAATATTCAGAATATGTTTATTATTTATAATATTCATTTTCCATTGGGTTGTTTTGTACAATCTTAGTCACTTTTACGGGTGTTTTTACTTTATTTTTGCACTTTAACAGCTTTTTTTCAAAAGTATATCGCATCAACTTGATCCTGTTCTATGAATATTACAACAAACTCTTTTTATGTTTTGACGTTTTAGCTTTTTAAGTCATCTGAGGCTGACATAATGTTCTTGTTTATTGTTTATAATGTATTTATGTACTCTGAAAAAGGCTGTTTAGACGAAACGTTGGTACATGAAAGGGATGTTGATTAAGAATTGTAGTTGACTACCTTTTTATACTATTACATATTTACAGTTCATGAACATAACTTTTAAGTCAAATGCTTGTGCACAGAATTATATTTGTATTTCTCACTTCTTAGCAAATTCAGCCAATAATTGTTTATAAAACATGTCAATTTTTTTTTGCCTCACTGTAGAAACACAAGATTGTGATTGTAAAAAATGTGTTTTAGGTAACGATTTGAAATAAACAGGAATATAAAGTGTACAAAATGTTCAATTTTATCTATTTACCAATATCTGGAGGAAAGTTACGAATTTGTTGTTTTTAGTTGTTTCGTTTTTGCTATATTTTGTTAGACTAATTGTTTTTGATGTTAGTTTTTATGTGATTAGTTTCATTTCCGTTTGTATGGTATAACTAGGGTTGAATAACTAAAAGTATCATACCAATGACATTTTGGTGATATTAAAACGTTCTGATAATAAGCAACAGTTGGTATGTTATTTGCCAATAATTTCTAAGCGCACATTAATATGCATTATCATAATGAAGAACCTTTAAATGTTAATAGAGGAAGATGAATGACATTGTAATTTATGGTAGAAGATACAAAAATTAGCGAAATGTAAAAGTAATAATCGTTGAATAGTTAACTATTTCACTAATGGCAAGGCAAATAAGATAATGCTGATAATGCTAAATTTTGATATTCCCCATAGAAACATCGATACACTTACTGAAATGAACGGGAGTAAGGCAAAATTACAAAGTCGATTCTTATTCATCAAAACTTATTTAATATATAATATATATGACACAGTGAGAGGACAAGGTAACCGTTGATACAATGCACTGTCTCTTTTATCAAAACTTTTACAAACAAATATTGCTAAATTTTTAACAATTAAAATATTTTCAGATTCAAATAATTCTCTAAATTTAATTACATTAGGTCTCTTCCAAAAATATTTTTTCATATGTATTTGTCTAATATCTTGAGGACATTAAAATAAAAAATGAAACTCATCCTCTAGAGTCAAAGTCTACATTTTCTTTCGTCAAATAATATATTTGTGGCCTATGCCATCTACCCGCTTCTACCTCTAAATATTAAAATGTGATAACACTCTCAGTCTTGTTAATGCGCTTATTTTAACAATGTCTAAATACGGCTGATATCAAAAACATGAAGAAAGTGTATATGTCCTGGCTCTTTCTTATTTCTAATTGAGCGTTCCATAGTTGTAAACAATTTTCATAAATGCATCTATAAAAATATTTTTGTTTCCAACTCCTTGGAATAGCCACACATGATTAAATCCTAATGAGTCTAGTAAAAGTTTGCTTATTATATGCCCATGTAATCTCATTAGGATACATTTCTAAGTCTCTTAACATCATATCGTATACATGTCTCATATATTTTGTACATTCTTATTCTAATATTTTAAACCAGTATCTTACTATACATTTTGGCCTATTAGAAAGTAAACTTGTTCGATAGACAAAATTATTCTGGGTTTGGGCATGTACTCCTAAAAGTTGTTTACAAGATTGTAAATGTATTCTTTCTATAACTTTTGTTTCTTTGAATCCCCATATTTCACATCCATAGTTTAATATAGGAACAACTAACTTATCAAACAGTTCTTAGGAGTGCTTAACATCAATATTAGTGAATTTAACTAAATAAGACTTGAGTTTGTATATATTGCCTTCAACGCCTGACCCGCTAATGCCTCGTGCATTGCGCTAAAAGAACCACTTATGGTAAATGTAATACCTAAATAAGAAAAAATGTTAACAATGTCTACAGTGTGACTACTCGTATATGTGAAGTTCATATTTCTTCTGTTTGTGCAACCTTTTCTAAATACAATTACCTTTGTTTTTTCAACATTTACTGTTAGTTTCCATTTCATACAATAGTCAAATAACAGATCTTAACCTTTTTTGTAAACTAGTTTCGGTTTCAGCAAAAATCAAAATATCATCAGCATATAGCAAAAGGAAAAGTTTGAACATATCTAAGTTTACATCATCAAATCCATGTAATATGAAATGCTCCTCAATGTCGTTTAAGTACATTGAGAATAAAAAAGGCGAAATACATTCTCCTTGACGAACGCTCAACATGCATGAAAAAATCAGTGCTAACTGTATTTAAATGCTTAACTCTAGATTTAACATTATTATACATTGATCTTATAACATCTAATATCTTTCCTCTAATGCCTAACTTTAGTAATTTATACCATATTATATCACGTACAACAAAATCAAATGCTTTGGTTTTACTGTTAATTTGGTTTGGGCGTTTGTCTTACCTTTTCACTATACATGTCAGTTCGTTTGTACTCGAATATTTCATCGTTTCTGTCTGACCCTATTGGTGATCCAATTGAAATGTTATCTACCTCAGTTTCATTTGAGTACAGCTTCTTCATGGCACAGAAACAACTTTGATTCGCGTCCTCAATTCTGCTAACACCTAGCTTCTACTACACTACGCCACTCTGGAAACATATCTTTGATCATTACATCTTTAATGAACAGTTTGGCTGGATATTTTATATACATTTTTACTTTATCCTGACGTGCTTGTTTTGCTTCTAGAGAGTTATATAAAGACTAACGCGCGTTTGCAATCTCTTTCGGATAGTCCCTGTACACTTCAAACTTTGACCCTCTCAGTGTGTACGCTTTCTGCATCACTATTTCTGTATCTGTATAATATTCAAATTTAACAATGAGTGGTATCTTTGGATCATCTGTATTTCTGTATTTTCATATGTCATTTGGGTCATGCCCCATGAATCTCTACGCAATATCTCTGTCAGTCTGATTCAAATTTTCAGTGACTCCATAGAAAATAATATTATTTCTTCTACTTATTGCTTATTGATCAATTGAATGATAGGACATTTGTGTCAATGTTTGTGTATGTAAGCTACATATGTTCTCTAAGTGGTCTATTCTCTGGTTTGTTGAAAAGACGCCATTGATTACCTTCTGTATATCATATTCACGCACTTTTCTTGTTTCTTTTCAATAGCCTCAATTTTGTTAACATTTTTGTTCATTTGTTCAAATATACAAACTAGTTTTTGGTCCGTACTTAGATCAACAAATGCATTAATTTAAATACTTCCTCGACTCCCTTTTTTCTCTTACGATTTGGGTTTACATACTGTCGTTCATGACGGTCATCGCGCTCATCAAACCGGTTTTGTATACTTACAGAAAAAATATTTTTTACAGATTGTTCACAGTCAGATTCGTCTATTGAATCTTCCATCTCGCTACGACATGTTTCATGATTCATTTTCTAATAATTGCAGACTTGCTATCAGATTCGGCTTAATTTTAATCATATGTTTTCTTTGTTTACAAACTTTGTGCTTCTACCCGCAATTGACCGGAAGTTATTATATATACTGAACAAAAACATCCCCTGTATGCAAGTGCAGATATACATAAATATGAAAATCAGGATTAAAGTAGATTTATGTGTATTCAAATATTATTCTATGCGATTGTTTGCGAAAGGTTTATCCAAAGGTAGCGAAATTGTAGTTGAAATGCCTAACAAAACCGCAAATTAATATCGGCTATGACCACCTTCAGCATGAAGAACTGACTGTCTGGCATCGTTTGCGCATAGAACGGATTAGCGTATTGATTTCCGCATATGCAATTTTGTTCCTTCATAATTAAGGCTTTCTTAGCTGAATGGACAGTTGAATAGGGCGGCGTCTTACACGCTGGTCTTAATTATCCCAAGGGTGTTCAATGGGATTTAGAGCAGAGCGTTTGGCAGGCAAGCCATTAATAAGTGCAACGTTATTCGCCTTGAGGAAATTCACAGTGGGATAACATGCTAATCAGGAATTTCATCTCGGTACCGTCGGGCATTCAAATTCCCTTCGATAACGACGGGATTAGTGCGAAAGTCATGTGAAATGCCTGTCAAGACAAAGAGAGATTCCCAACCCCAAAAAACGAGCTCGTTCAAGTACGCAGCACTTGGCAAAACGTTCATTTCTCCTACGATACACTTGAATCTTGCTATCAGCCCGATGAAGGGAAAACCCTCGACTCGTCAGAGAAAAGAACGCTATTCCATTGTTGTCTTAGCAAATGTTTGTGTGTTCTTAATTCACACGATTTACGCGCTAACGTCGCCTCAAAACACAACCAACGTATGGTCGATGTCCATGTAGCCCACACTCGCGCAAGCGATTGCGCACAATTTTGGCAGATATACGGTTGTTATTGTACCAGGGTGTTAGCAGCAGTAGCCGTGGCAGTTTGAAAGCGATAGCGCAGGTGGGTGTTCCGAAAATAGCGGTCTTGGACACGCGTCGTAATGCGTGGACGTCGACTACGAGGTCGATCTTTTGTACGCCCTGTTGCTTGAAAACTTTGCCTAAGGTGTCGAATAGCACGAGTAGAACATCCAATATTAATAGCGGCGGCATTCATCTCATCTTCATACCAGCATTCAGCATGCCGATGGCGCGAATTTTTCAACGTCTTTCTCTTATTGACATGAAAGTCTATAAAATTATAAAGGTTTCATGAAATATATACGAATCTACTGGTCCGTGCATGTACGAAAAATAGCGTTTAGCGGGGTTTTCCTGCAAAACAAGTTAAAATTGAGTTACAATTTATCGGACACATTATCGTTCATATCTCGCTCATCTGACATTTTGATTGTTTTGAATAAAACTCTATCTTCGCTTAAACACAGGAGAAGCTTCTTTTTTGTTCAGAAACAAACATATCCATGTTCACCTTGGACCAAAATGAAAATATGATAGACATTTCTCAATAGATGTAAAAGTATTAATTTAAGCTTTTTCAAAATTTATCATCACTGTTTAATCTGGTATATTATTATCTTCTGTATATTTCATTATATCATACAATTATCGAGCATTTCCCCCATATATCTATTCTGACGATTACCAGTCCACCTCATTAACACAAGCAAAATTTAACATTTGGTCTACCATGTAATTCACAATATCTTCTCGCGGATGAATGTATTTATTATGCATCGCAATAGTTATGTCTTTGTTGTTCAGTAAAACTATTCGGTCAAATAACCCGTCAAATACTTCATACATTATTTTGCTATATAAAAACCCAAAATAATCACAAAGTCTGACAACATTAGCTGAGGATTGGGTAAACGTATGAGGACCTTTTATCATAACAATTGCATTTTTATTCCTGAGAAACAATCTTTCAATACTAAGACGTATAATAACCATTCTTTGCTTAAACACACTATGATGAAATGCTATAAAATGCACAAATAAATGAATAACTATTATTGCACGTTCGTTTTTGGGTATATTGTCTATAAGCCGAGACGTTGAATATGACGTGTAACGAATATTTTCCCAACTGCCACCAACATAAAATGGCTGCGCATGCGGGTACCACCCTGCTTTGAAATTAAGTTTCTTGTTATAACACTCTGTCATTTTATGCCAATATTTGGTTTGCCACTTTTCTGTTGTAAGAGAACATTCAAAACGCTTAACAATACTGGAAAACCAATATCTTATAGTAGAATCGCCAATCATGTACAATCGCTTGTCCATTAAGCACTTGTTGTATTTCTTTTGTTGAATACCTGTGAAAAAAATAATTATTGTACATATCAATTTTTATTCAGACTGTTAAATAGTAAAATTGAATTGAACTCCATGACAAATCAAGACTAAAATCAATTGAAATGAGCGAGACACAATATTATTTCGTTGCAGTACAATTTCAAAACAAATTCATATAAATAAATGTGTGAAAATTATTTTCGTTGTTATTCTCTTTATACGATGATGTCACAATTAACGGCTTTCAAGTTTCGTCTCCATATTATTCTAAATGTTATCATTTTTAACACGCCTGAGCAATGTGAGTCGTTCATTACAAAAAAAAGTAAAAAAAGACAGAATCCTTAAAGAACGTACAAAACGTTGCAGACTCGGTTTGATTGAGGCAACCCATGGAGTGTACACGTCCACGAAACCACCTCCTCCCCTACCTACTATTCTAAAGCAGAAATCAACCTTTTAAACATACAAATGTTGAAATTTTGAATTTAGAAACATCCGTGATATGTGTGTGCCATTCTATGGCGTATGGTTCCTAAATAAAAGAATGCGCAATCCCTAAACAAGAAAACAATGGGCGGAACTAAATAAAAATAGAATTTTGAAACTTGATTAGAGGTTATGAAGCTTGCATATCACAAACAAGACGTCAAAAGACAAATTTTGTAGGCAATATATCCTTAGAATTATTACACAATATTTAAGTTGGAATACTTGAACTACTCAACAAGGAGAAGATCAAATAGAAGATTCATGTACCACAGACATGTACATACGACTATATTGTCGTGCCGAACGATCTACAAGGACTGAAACTATAACATCTTTAATTGATATATACGGCAAATATGACACTGGTCATTAAAACAGAATACCTTAAAGATGCCCAAAAACAACAACGTTGAAAATGTTGAAAGCTCGGTTTGATTACGTCTGCCAATTAATGATACTGGGAAATGCAAGTTCCCGCCCATATCTTTTAAGAGGAATTTGCAAAGCCCAGATAATGAAGCATTGTCACATAGATATCTACAAAAGCTATATTTAACATGCCCCTTAGGACACATTTTGCCCAATCCTGACAAACCCATTGTGACCGCATTCTGACTTTATCACTGAAAAATAAAAGTGTAACCTTCTGTCTCGTTTCTGTAAATGCAGAAATGTTGTTTTTTTTGCGCTGTCACGGGATGCAGTGTTTTGGACGACCGGACTGACTGACGGACAGACAGACAGACAGACAGAAGAAGGATAAACCTTTAGTAAGCCGATAGGGGAGTTTCAAAATTTTCTTCTCATTTTTTCTTCTTTTTAATCGTTCCTTAGACTTGTAAATTACTATCGTCGATGGCCTACTATGTATGTTTGGTTTTGTATTTTGAAAACGTAATAAAGTGATCTTTGCATTGTTTTTCAGCTACTGTATTATCGTTATTATAAAATGACTTTATTACACTCCTGCATCGTGTTTTATGATAAGACAAAATTATAGGTTAAATTATTTTGATATGACAGATAGGCTATCAAGAGTAAGTGGAGGTAAATGAACACATGAAAAATATAGTACGAAGTTAAATACAAAACACAAAATTTGAATATGTAACCAAAATATTAACATTTTTAAGGACTATAAAAAAAAACAAGGTGAGGAGACGAGGTAGACTACTTCAAAACAGAACGTGTTTGCTTAAAATTCAAAAACAAAATTTTAAGAAGGTATTCAAAAAGTGGTGAAATAAAAACACCTACAAAAGGAAGAAGGAACTATTGTTGTAATAGTGACATTTATATTTTAAGAAAATAAAAACAGATCTCATCTTACCAACACAATTTCTGAAGTTCCAGCTTCCATTAAGCAAATAACCTGTCGGTCTTCTCAATTGCCAAAGTTGACTTAGGTCATATTGTGAACAGGGTGTTGACGGCTTTTCAACAGTTTCTCTTAGATTATCTCCATTATCTACTAATACTTTAACAAGTAATGTATGTTGTAATGCTTGTTGTCCTCTATAATGTAAATTACAGGATGAAAAGGCATACTGGTTTTAACGTATATATAACCTTAACATCTGTTGAAAAAAATAAATATATATTAACATATATCTGTCATAAAAAATACAAGTTAACAAGTGTTTGAAAACTTCCATTATTAATGAAAAGAAAAAGCCTTTGCCATTCTTATAAAAAATTTTGGACAAGTTTAATAAATTTGAAAATTTTGAAAAACAAAGTATCACCCTATACTGTGACAAAGTTAACAGGGGTTTTTCCTTGCCCAAATCACATGATAACTTGGCCCAAAAAAAAACCCATCCTTTTTGGGAACAATTTCAGATGTCTTTTGACAAACTGATGTGAATTGCACATGTTAACTGCTCTTACTCAAAAAATAATCTTTCGTTCCAAAGAAGAAAAACTTTGGATTTCACTTTGGGAATCACGGCGTTAAAAATAGTAACAATAAACATTTATTTTAAAAATCTACTTTAGTATATACTAGTTTTGACTTGTTGGATTCTGCTAGCTATTAACCTATTCCATTCATATACAGGTGTACAGGTTCGTTATTATAACATTTAAAAAGTAACATATAAATATATATATATATATTTATTCAGGCTGTTTTGATATTAAATATTAAAAATGTCATTATTAACGTTTTAAAGTTTTTTTTTCGAGCTTTTATATACGTAAGCCCGTATTTAAAACAATTTAAACAGAGCGTTTATCAGCAATTTTTAAATGAAGTTACTTCTATAAGGTAAATGTGAATAAAATTCTGAATCGGTTGACAACACACATGATTTTGGTATCATTTAAAAAGCAGATGCTTTTAAACATGGCATAGTTTAATTCAAATGCAAGAATCACGAACTAAAATATACTTCATATTGCATTTCATATTGACCCATAATAATAATAATAATTATAATAATAATAATTTAATTATTACTATTATCATCATTTGCAATGAAGATATGTATTTAGTAGAGTTGGACTTGCAGGTAATCACAGACACTTATTGTGTGGAGCTTAAAAAGCCTTTAAAATCCAAATAAAATGTATATTTGTCTGTCCTTGCACATGTACTTATCATATACTCAGCAATAAAAATGTGTACATGGACTTAAAATGGGCATATTTCAATTTTTTTACTGGTGTATCCGGATAAATCTGATTACATTTTTTTGGCGTGGGTTCGATCCCCGGGAGATGCTTTGGTAGTTAAGCGCGGAGGAAGGTAGTCTAGTACTGGTGTAACTGTCCAGGAACGATGGTTAGGAAAGTACCCGCCTATATGACTGAAATACTGTTGAGAAAAGGCGTAAAAATGAAAGAAACAAACAAAAAACATTTTATTTCTTTGAGACTTTGCTTCGATTTATTTACATATTTGTCAATCTGACCAAAAGAAACAATTTATACACGAACAAATTCTGACCTAGGGATTCAAATAAAAATCCAGGAATGAAAGGCAGTAGTAAATGAGACTTTTGAGATTCTGAATCTTTGAATAAAAACCAATAGTGTTTATCAGAACAATTCAGTAACGTGTGTGACCCCGGAACTGGCACATTGGGTGAACGTAACCCCTGAGTAAGACATAAGCAGGGTCGGACATTCCATCTGCAGTGCACGTGCGAGTTCGTTAACGTTGTGATTTGGTGATTTGTCCTTACTTAATTTAAATTAAATCAAACGCAATTTGAAATACAGAAAACACTGAAAATCCGAAAGAAAAATGGCAATTAACTTTAGCAGTCTTTATGTAATTTTTTTTTTTTGGTTATAATCTTGAAAAACGGAACACTGTAAATGAACCTTTCGTGTTTCGGTTAGTGAACTCTGACAACTATGTAATTGATATATGCTTGATTAATGTGCAAACATAAATGATAATAAGAAACATAATATCATTTGAACACATCAATAATCATATAATTTACTGGACACTTATTGAACATCATAAACTGAGGGAACCTGGTCAGTTTGGATTTTTTGTGTGGGTTTCGGTATTTCGTGTGCATGAGTAAACCTAGAGGATCGTGAATGTTATTGGTGGTCTCGTTATTTTGGACACAATTTATAACTCAGTTCTTGTGTAAAATAAACTTATTGAGTTCTTATAATATGTAAAATAAATTGTTTCACAACAAATATTACAAGAGCTCTGTGGGACGAAGAATGGTTAAGCAAAGAGCAATTTAACAAGGGAGTTAACTGACTATCAATACAATGCAAGTTATTTTAGAAGAACCCTTCACAATTTATTTCAGAATGTCAAGAACTATTCTTTACAAGTTCTTTTAGAATGGCAATGAGATTTCTAGATTTCAGTTTGTAATTTTGAAATGACCGATGAAAATTCTTCTTATATTCAGTTCCTCCCTTACCATTTTTTTCAGAAATCAACACATTTTAGTAATATATATAATATATCTTGGGTTGTACTTACTTGAGTTCTCATACGATAATGTGACGCGATTTCTTCCCTTGTATAAGCAAGAGTTACGATAATTGATGATGTTCCTGACCAAAATGCTTCACATGTCACATAATGAGTATCATTTTCATTGTCTGTGACAACACAGGGAGCTGATGCTTTCAATTGCTTGTTCTCTATCGTTACTCTCAAATGATCTCCACCGCTGTTTGTTCTCTTTCCATATCCATTAAACAGTGTTACAATAACGCGTATTTCTTCACCAATAGTGTACGTTCCGCTTTTACGATCTAAAATATGGTTGTTTGATAAATTGCAATTTAATTTCTCTATTCACAGTTATAATTGTTGTTTGGCTTTGTCCGATGTTTATCTGAGCCAGTAATAGTCATTCTTTGATACAGGTGTTAACATGTTAAGACTGTGCGTCTTCAAGAGCAAACTAATGTAATCTTGTAATAAAGAAAGCTCTTTATAAAGTAAAATTAAATATAGACATCTGTTTGGAGAACTTAATGCTGATATATTTTCATTTTTGTTGTAGTTAACCATCTCCCCGAACTCATATTTATATATTTTTAAATATGCTATTTGTAAGGTGACAATCTGTGTTGAAGAAATACAATATAAGAAAACTCACCGATAAAAGATAAAGTAGAGTGGTGTGCTGAAGACAATAGCTTTTCATCCGTGCATGGTTTAATTCTGAGGGCTTCTTCTTCCAGTAAAATATTATAAAAACCTGCCTCCCGTGGGTCACATCCGTCATTGGTGACATGTTTATATCTACAAATTAGAATAACCTTTATCATAAATTATCGCATGGTTTGGAACTTTTTCTTTGTTCTTACTAACCCATTATACTCATAACCCATTATACTTAGTATACTTTCACTGAGCATTTGAAAACTGTATTGATATATAGCAGAACAGTTTTTTATTGATTCATATAGGAAAAAAACTCAACTGTTATATAGCAGTTGAGTTTTTTTCGCACCTTGTATATATCAGTATAGTTTTTTCACTGAGGTTCCAATGGGGCAGCGGTAAGGAACATTCCCAAGTAGCAAAAAAAACATAATTTATTCTTATATAATTATCACACCGTATTACCAGCGGCAGTGATGGCAGATCACTGCAGTGATGGCAGATATCTGAAAATTACCGATCGGTACAGGTAGGTTATAAATTTGATTGGTTTTATTATATTACACAAATACGGCCCATTTCATTGCTATTTAACTATTGTCCATTGAATGGAGATACTGTAAGGTAATTTTGGACTCGTTTTTTCCTGTTTTCAGACTATTTTGAGCAGGTTAAAAGTGAAAGCCTTAGAAAAATCCTTGAAAATGTCTGTTTTCTGTTCAAAATATCTCAAGTTTTAAGTAAATGGCAGGATTTCCTGTTATCAATATAGACGTTCATCCATTGGGGTCACGCAAGCCAAATATCTACCCCGTGAGTCTTTTCTTGAAAGTTTTACAGACGCTTAATCTTGTCCGGTCGAAGAAAAAATGCTGCCGTTGTAGGCAGATACATATTATAAATGCTGCCGTCGATGGCAGAAATACCATGAAAGTGGCTTACATTCTGACAGAAAATCAAGTTCAATCTTTTATCAATTCCTCTTTTCTTTGCGTCCTTTTAGTCGGAATTGAGACGTTAAACTATCATTTCTAATATTTTCTCAAGATAGAAAAGTTATTAACCCATTACCCCATGAGCATCTTGTGAAAAATGGCTGTTTTCATTGAAAGGTCTCCCGTTACAAGTTCAAGTTGCTATAAAACTATAAAAACTGCTTCAATACTAATCAAACTTGGCACAAATGTTGACTGGACCATTGCCTTTGTAACAACATGTTCAGTCTGAAATTTCCTGTTACCATAGCAACTAGGGGACATCTCAAAATTGCCAAAAATCACTATTTTGCGTTGATTTTTTCTTCTGGCAACCCCCTGATGTATCTTTTGGATGGGGGTGGGGGCCGCGCCGAAAAAGAGGTCAATTTTTTAAACAACATTTATCAAACAAAAACAACTGTTTGGGGGCCTAAATAAGGCATTTTTTCACCATTTGAGAAAGCAAAAAAGGAGGGGGGGTGAAAAAGGCGTAGAAAGACGTATATATCTGGTAATGGGTTAACAGAAACTGATTAAGAAAAACGAAATTACCCAAAAACGCGTTTTTCCATGTTAAAACATGGCCTCACATATAATTTTGAAGAAAAATTGCTGTTTTGTAGATTTTTTGATTTTTTCATTAATGCGGTATGTGCATCGAAAAAAAGCTAATTAGCAACATGCAGTTACAATACAAAAAGTTATGATTTAGTACCACAAAATTTCACTATAAATAGAGAAATGAACATGAAAAACTTCATTTTTCTATATTCATGCATGTATGCTTGATCTGTTGTGTCTGTCAGTTACATGCATACAATACTATATGTGTCTTAAGTTTAGCAGCGCACTCCCTTTTTAAGACATAACGCCAATTGCATATTACAGCAAGTAACTTCTGTAAGTGGATATTCATTTGCTAGCATATGACATTATTTTCTCGAGGTAATAATGTTCATCGCTTTATGACAAATAAAGGCTGAAATTTACTTAATCGGCGCAGATTATAAATTATTAAATTGATGTAATAAAGGGGAGACTATTAACATCGCAACTGGCATCAGTGTATCATAAAACAATGTATGTTAATGTAAAATGGAAAAATAATATTATTGACAGTTCAAATATTTTCCTATATTATCAAGTTCTTGAAAAACACGACAACGTTCATTTCTTAAAATTTTCATGTGTGTAATAGCGTTGTAGTTTGCCTTTGAATTACATTTTCTATGCTAAACTATTAACAACAGTTCTAACATCACGCGCTCCCATTTAACTATATATTTTTTTCATTCATTTTAGTTGTAACCATGACAACTTATAAAGATGAACCTTTCGATGATTCATATCACAAGATGAAAATAAATCCTGTATTTATAGGGAAAAAACTAGAATTTTTTGATTTGTTATATTCTTTTTCTCTTTTTTGACCTTTCAATTCATATGAACAGATCAAGCGCACATGCATGAATATAGAAAAATGAAGTTTTTCATGTTCATTTCTCTATTTATAGTGAAATTTTGTCGTCACTTTTTGTATTGTAACTGCATGTTGCTAAAAAGCTTTTTTCGATGCATACACCGCATTAATAACTTTTCTATCTTGAGAAAATATTAGAAATGATAGTTTAACGTCTCAATTCCGACTAAAAGGACGCAAAGAAAAGAGGAATTGATTTTTTGATTGAACTTGATTTTCTGTCAGAATGTAAGCCACTTTCATGGTATTTCTGCCATCGACGGCAGCATTTATAATATGTATCTGCCTACAACGGCAGCATTTTTTCTTCGACCGGACAAGATTGAGCGTCTGTAAAACTTTCAAGAAAAGACTCACGGGGTAGATATTTGGCTTGCGTGACCCCAATGGATGAACGTCTATATTGATAACAGGAAATCCTGCCATTTACTTAAAACTTGAGATATTTTGAACAGAAAACAGACATTTTCACGGATTTTTTCCAATGCTTTCACTTTTAACCTGCTCAAAATAGTCTGAAAACAGGAAAAAACGAGTCCAAAATTACCTTACAGTATCTCCATTCAATGGACAATAGTTTTATAGCAATGATATGGGCCGTATTTGTGTAATATAATTAAACCAACCAAATTTATAACCTACCTGTACCGATCGGTAATTTTCAGATATCTGCCATCACTGCAGTGATCTGCCATCACTGCCGCCGGTAATACGGTGTGATTATGCAACTGCTGAAATTAAACGGTACATCCGCTTGGACGTTGTTTTAAGTTTTCAATATTATAATATAGTTGTAGGCAAGCATACGAGATTATTACCTGGTTTTGGTTCATATTATCTGGGAGTGAGAAGGTGAAAAAGTGAAAGGGCACGAGAGAGAGAAATGCATGTTTTTTTACATTTTTTAGAAGAAACACCCCTTGATGTCGCCCTAGCCAGTGTTATATCCTCGTAACTAACTCGTTTCATTAACTATAACTATTACAACGAGTCTATTCTGTCTGGTACACTTTTTGCTTATTAAAATGGTTTTGTACATTTAATATTTAGCATCGCAAGAGTTTACACACATGTGCACGTGACTTGTTATTCAATGAGCACTGCAGTGTAATAAAACGTGACAGATGTTTTTGTGTTGTTTTTTTAACCCTTTCTACCTAACTGATTCAAAGATTCAATGTTTTTTTATTAAAGAGATAAGATTTTTAAGAAATAATTCACCTTGATTCAGTTTTATTTGTTTTCGCTGTTGTATGAAACAATTGGCTCTTGAAAAGATTCATGCGTCCTTTGGTATCCGAGAATAATAATACTATATAAATGGTGATTAAAATTATGACACCTATAAACCATTGTAGCTGGCATCTGAAAATTTATAAAATAAAAGTTTCATAAATCTACATTGTATATAATTTGAAAGCTTGTATTTTTTTACCGCTTTGCATAGTAATGAAGGCGATTAATTTTAAGAAAATGGCTATGTAAGTCAATAAAAAAAGAGCATCAGCCATCTTTGTGGCATAATTGGTGGTCACAGAGTGTATTATTTTAAAATCATATGAGAAATACCATAATTGGTCAAGTAGGTTTCTAATAGCGATTGCCAAAGCATGGTGGTATTCCTTCATGTCGTCAGGTGCACGCCGTTGTTTTCGTGTGCAGGACTCTACACTAATAACTCAGTACTGGTTGCTCCCAGGAACGGATTTGAGTTGTCTATAAGCTTTATAAGTTTCGTACAAAATCTAACTAAAATAAATTCTTAATATTAACTTATCTAATAGCATTCCCAAATAAAACTGTGTCATGAATGGTACCTCCATAAAACATTTTTCTGTTTGTTTAAAGGATTAAACCCTCCTATCAAAAACGTACCACTTAAAAATAAAATTATCGAAGGTAAAATGAATGAAAAGAAAGACAGTTTTTTAAGTACAATGACAAAGAGAGAGAAAATATGACGTTTATACACAAGTTAAGATAAACAGGAGATCAAATGTAACATTAAATACAATTTCTTTTTGCATATTTCATGCAGATTACGAAACAATCTTTTGCTTTTATTTTGGAAAGAAGTACATATGATATTGTAAATTGAATTTAAAACATCATTCGATAGGGCATTAAGTAGCAATACCAATTGAAAGAGAAACACAAACAATAATCAATATTAAGGCAGATGATTTAATTAAACTTATATTAATCTAAATCTAAATTATAACGCTGCTAACAAATAACTTATTTGATTCAGTCTAGACACCATGTTGTTGTTTTTTTTTTTTTTGTTGTTTTTTCATCAGTATAAGAAAGTTTGTTACATATATAATCTAAATGTGTTTTACCTCCATCCTGGATGACCAATTGCCATTATTTATCTCAAATCTTAATTCCGAAGCGAACTTACAATTGTTGATAAGAACTTAAAAGCTTATCTTTTTAATCTATGATAGGAACGCGGCTAGATTGTAAATTATATATATATTTGACACATCTGTTTGTAGTATAAGTAAAGCAAATCAATCGGATGTCTAAAGTTTGTACCATCTGTCATAGCCTGTTAATTTTACCGACATATGTTCACAATTATCATTTATTTATCGTTTATCATTTGTTTAGATCAGTTCAATTTGCATATATACAAATACAAGAGCAAACATATTATATGAGTAAAATATACAGCATGTAATGGCTACAAGATGTATGAGTTTCGTGTTATTTAGATAACAATTAGTAAAGTTTTATTATTCAATATCAATTTTAAAATCACATTATCTATTTCTCGGCCATCTGGACCGTTAACCACTACTAAAAGGTCAATCTCCTCATAATGGCAGTGGTGTGTCATCTTGACGAGAAACTTCCTGAGTTCTCGGTTTATGTTTATAATCAAATGTAAGGCTTTATTGGTGATATTTTGCTTATTTAACCTTTATGCATTAATCAAGATATACTTAATTAATGACCAAGCCATTATAGTAAGCTAATACGAGCGTGTCAACACTGTCTTTATATATACATGTATATAAAGTGGAAATACATAATATTGCAGACTCGGTTTGATTATGTCTGTAAATGAAGGAGAATGAATAAGTTCAACATCCTCCACGCCCGTCAACACCGGCTTGAGCGGAACTCTATTTTCAACACTTAATAATGCTGGCATCAATGATCCCGAGGGACCAGAAAAACTTGTGGTGTCATATTTCTGGAGCTTTTCCTACTGAAACGTACACGTCCTGTCACAGTATGAAAATGGATATATATAATGACCAGTTTATATCTTCAGTCAGAAGCTAGGAAGCTGAAAGCTAAAACCGAGTTTGCCAAAAACATGCCTTAATGAAAAATTTCAAAATAACATATTTAAGATATAAATGTTTAAGCAACTTTAAAGACAAAATCATACTTGACAGTTGAACACATTAATCTTTTTTTCATATTCAGCAGAAGTGTCAACATCCAATTTTATCACTAAATCACATTATTTGCTCACATAATATTTAACCTTGCCGCCATAATCACGTGACACATAAATGTCATTTTGTCAAGTTTGCAACAAATTTTCTCGCTTGAACTACATTGTAAGTATGCAACCACTTCAGGTCCTGTCCCTTGTATGAACCCGGGCCAGTCCCAATTCTCAAAACATGCCTATTTACCACTCAATTACAAACAATGAGGTTGACAAGCTCTACAAAGTTTTGTAAATTGTGTTTAATTTTACAGACATGCATCGTCGGATACCCACGGCCGAACCATTAACATTTATCATTTGATTGCATGTTATGTGACATGTTTATCAATCGTTGGTATCCGGCAATGACAGACATGTTACTTATTAACTATGTATATTTGGTCTATGTTTTCCCAAACCTGATTTTGCTTTTCTATTTTTGCTTCAATATTATTGAGTTTTATATCAAGTTTATTATTGATATCCTGAAGAACTCTTGCGAGCCATGGAGGGATGTCATGCCGTTGTGCTGATGTTTCCACGTGTACATGGTTATCAATCTGAGAAGTGTTTTGTAACAGATGCTGCATGTGATGTGGTACAAAAATTGGGTAGCGTGGAAAGGGAGGATGCATTCCATACATGTAGCCTTATTCTGTTTGATTGGTTGTTTTATTATGCACTTTATTTTGGTTTATGGATGTATCAGCAGTCTGATGATAAGTATCAGCACATGTTGGATAAAGAGCTTCTCTTGCCTGAGACAATTGATTTGATATTTCTGTATTATAAGTAGTAGTATTATCTTTGTCTTCTTTATCATTATCATGTTCAACAGTTTTTAAAGTCTTTGGAGTCTTACGAGTTACGTTACTGTTTCGACCTTGATTTCCTCTAGTTGGTGGGGTCCGAGTGGGTGGGGTACTGTTCTTACTCATATTCTCAAAATACCAATTGAGTAACGTTTACAAGGCATTTAATACAATACCCTGGTTAATATGGACCTGTGTGTAGAAGTGTGTTGGCCACGATATAGGTCTTACTCTTTATCTGTTTTATTTCAAGAATTGGCTCAGATGTCCATCTGTTGATCATGGTCTTACACCACCATATCACTTCACCTTCCATACTGTGATGTAACTACAAATGAAGTTTTAGTATTATATTCAAAATAGTTTTAGTTTTACATTACATCCTGTGTGTGACATAATAGGCAAATTCAATTAAGTTACAACGATGAATGTAGTTTAATTACCTTTTGTACAAAGATTTTTATTCTGGTGTTACTTAAAGATCCTGTAACTCATTTTTTATGGGTTTTTTTATCATAAATATAACGCTCAAATGAAGATTTATCAATATTGTAAGTTCCAAAAACATTATTTGTAAAGATATTACCGAATTTACATTTCATGTCAATAAAGGAAGGTAATTAGAAATTTACTTTCAGTCTATAAAGTTTAAGTCAAATTTTTCAAAAAGAAATGAATGCATATATTTTAATAATTACATATAATGTTGACAAATATTTGCAGTACATATTTTACATATTCTTCAATGTTCGAAAATTGTTTAAGAAGCATAATTATATACATATATAAAATTTCACTTAAGTTTGGTTACAACCTGAATTAAAACATACAGGGTCTTTAACAAGTAGGTGAAACTTGTAAGTTTATTGGCATACCTTTTATTGTTTATAATGAATAAGTATGTGTCAATTTTATTTTTGACTGACAAGACAAGCATAATAATTACACTGTTTGGGCGCTTACTTTTGTTTGACTGTAGTTGATGAACTGCGCATGACCAGTTTCGGTGATTGCTTAACGTTTTTAACGAGAGACCGCGCATATTTTTGGAATAGATTCGCGACGTCACTATAGTCTAAACATTGTAAGCATTCGTCTAGTTAAACTTATTGGACAGCACATACCCAGCCATTACGTAATATATTTAAATTAATTTCCTTAACAAATTATGTCACATGCAGAAAAGAGCATACATTTATTTAAGCTATCATTTAAGTCAATAGCTGTAATAAATAGCATTACCTGCACTTCCATGCCATCTATTACTTCACTTTTACGTAATGATTCTTGCAGATGTTGATTGCTGTATTCATTACTTAATAGTGTCAACATAAATTATTAAAGGTTATAAATAAACTTTTTATACAGAAAATTTTGAATTTCAATCTTAGAGCTGGCTCGAAATTCATCTCCAGCTCGAAATTCAGCTTTGATTTACTTTGAATTTCTATCTTCGAGGTAGCTTACAGTGCTTTTTCATATATTTTGCCATTATACTATGTGCTTGCACTATTCATTTATGGTTATTTTTGATAAAATGATTCTAAAGAAATTGGCGGGAAATGCGTTCTTTGCGCCCCGTCATTTTGTAATTGCAGTTCATGTTAGTCGAGTTATTGACAAATGCGATGAATTCTCAGACACAGTGACGATGGATCTGGGGACAAAGCTAGACGCGATGCTCTGTTTTTTCAGAGGCATGGTTGGGGTTCGAGAATTGTTATGTTTTAGTCAATTTTCATGAACATGTTATAAAGGTACATTGTGCTTCAGCAACAAGGAAAGGTTTTACTTTGTATGAAGAGAAAACATGAATTTTATAACATTTAAATAATGGTTTTAGAGCATGTCAGATGCGCCGTATCGCTAAATGTGAAATAAGTTGTCATAAAGGTAGTATAATGTAAAACAAGTAGTATTTTGACTTCCATACAAAATAATAAATTACCACAACTACACTAATGGCTAAAAAGCAACGGAAAAAAGATGGTTCAGGTTATTTGCCAATAAGTTACGTTTTGGAAACTATAAAGCTACACCAAATGAAAATAAAAAAAAACATTCTTTGGGCTTAATGTGCTAAAAGTTGAGGCGGTAATAATGTTATAATGATTCCTTAAAAATGTTGAACATGCAATTATGGCTCACAAGAATTGTTGAACCTGTAATAATAGTTCTCAGGTAAAAAAACAAACATGTAATAATGGTTTTCATGAAAATAGATGAAAACGAAATAACGTTTCTGTAGAAAAAAGTTTCTGTAGACCTATTTCTATCGGTAAATCGAGAGCAGTGTTTGAGCAAAATAAAATAAAGCTATACAATCGTTCCAAGTTTTTGTATTTTGCAAATATAGAAAGAATATCTGGATGATGTAATATCATAAAATCATTTTATCTTTGTGCAAGCTGCTATTTTCTTATCAATATAAGACCTTTCAGTAAACAAAATGTTATTTTTCTGCCATGCCTGATCTCATTTTCATATATATACATTGTAATAATATTTTTTTTGCGATAAAAAAATTTGTATTGTATTGTAATATGTTGCTGATCTTGTGATAAGTACTGTTACAATAATAATGTTTTTGTCAAAATTCTGGAACCAAAGTGATCCCTCGGAAGCATTAATCACAACAAAATAACATAAGAATTGCAGACTCGGTTTGATTGAGTCTGTACCTGTTTCAAACAATCACATTTGTAACACAATTTGCTTGTTACAAAACGGAACCAATTTGTAAATGATCAACGTGATAAATGTGATATGTTGTGAAAGTGGTCCAACAAAGCCTCGTTTGCTGTGACAGGTCTTCTATCTACACATACATGTGTAATGTCTTGTACTTAATATAACCGTGGTAAAATATCGTAAAATATTTAAGTAGTCATGGCGTTAAAGAGAAACAAGAAAACATTTTTTCAGATTCACTTTTTATACATTAATTTTATAAAGATTTCAACATTGGCCATTAGACAATAACATTGACAATAATAACATTTTTTATTATAATTTCGTACCAAACATACACTGAACATTTCAAAATTGAAACAATGTTTTCTAAAAAAATAATATAATAAAAATTGTAAAACAAGTCACAGAAAGTTGTTACACAACACTTGTTATGATATGCCTGCAATAAATGTAATAATGTACAAATATGGAATGTTGAGAACTCGAGACACTAGATATAGGGCCATATACACTAGAAAAAATACAAATATTGAATCAGTTGTATTCAAGTCAACCAAACATTAATAAAAACAATTTCAAATATAAGATAAAATTTTAAAAGTAACACATTACTAATTTCAGGGGAAAAAAACAGCTGAAAAATATGACAAATAACAATAAAAGTAGGCGAATAGTGTACATGTATATATGTATATATGAAACCAGTCACAGACCTATGCATTGGTTTAGCTAAAATATGTAAAGGCACCTAAATAGAACCACCGACGTTCCGTAAGCTAGCTTAATAGCTTCCTCACATGAAAGAATCCAAGTTTTCTGGCGAGATTCGAGCCAAGAGGTGGTACAAGCTCGGCCACGGACACGCCATTGAAATGTCTTTGTTAAACATTATACGATTATCAAACGATTTAATGAGAAAAAAATTATTTGAGCTTCTCTACATATCCATATAATTTGATATTTAAGAATTAATGAATTCTAATTAAAGGTTTGAAACGGTCACCTCCGATTTTTAGTTTAAGCTTTACATTAATGATAGAAAATGTCCAATGTCATTGCATTTAATGAGTAAATGTCATCAGGCGATATGGTGCATATTACCATAAAGCAATAATTGGAGATTGCATGAAATGCCTCACATAAAACCCTTTCATAAAACTGTGTAACTAAATGAAACAAAATGTCTGATGTGATAGTGTGTATACAGTTTGAGATTCAACGAAATACCTGACTAAATTAATTAATTGATAAAAAAAATTGTTCCTGAAGACAAAAGCTGGAATGGTATGGAAAATACTACATGTATTTCAATGTGATTGCACAAGCTTAATGATATGGCATGTATTTTTTTATTAAAATCTCTAACTCATAATACCTTTCCAGCACAATTTAAAAACGTACAGAAAAACAATTGTTACAAGATTGAATAAAAAAACTATTTTCTATGCTACAACTGATCATTATCGGCGCCTGATTCCGCTATATTTGTCATGCTCTTCATTTTTGATTGTCGATCCACTTTATTAATTCTCCCTGGACCAAACCATGACAATATTACCGGAAGCAAAAACAGCGCATGCGTAATGCCGAATAACAAAACGAACGACATTACAGCAGCAAAAGATCTAAAGATATAAGATTTTGCACCAACAAGAACAAGAATACCTAACAGTGATGATACGGCACCATGGAAAATTGGAGCACCTGTTTTGTCTATTGCCTGACGTACTCGTAGAGCACGTGACTCTCCGTCTGAAATCATGTAACCATGGCAAATATGGGCGGTAAAGTCTACAGAAAATCCGATGCTCATAATCAACATAAGCATTGATATTGCACTTAGTGACACATCTAAATATAACATGAAACCTACCACACCTGCCATTATTGACGTCACAGCCAGTGTAACAAACACTATCAGGACTGGGTGTGGCATAAAAATACACGTGATTACAAAAACAGCTTCCAAAGCTATACCCACAGACTGGAGAGTAAGTCCAAATATTCGGACATACAATTCAGAAATGATAAAAGCCGGTGAGAAAGCAAAACAATCTATTTCGGCAGAGTTAGCAATGTCACGTGCCTCTAGCATCATGTCCCCTTCCTCTTGACTGCTCTCTAAATTCACTGAACGAACGTACACACGTGACGCAGTTATATTTCCGTCAACATTATAAGTGCGGACATCGTTTTCAAACACAGAGTATTGCGGGTCATTAAAGAACTCCTGAAGACCAACTTGAAATGCCGACCTTGACGAGTCGTTATAATACTGCGAGCCTTTGTACGATTTTAACCAGCTCACTTCAAACCTAGAGTCTATATATCTGCCAGAATGTGCACTAGCTAATAGTTTATCCATCATTAGCTGCGTTTCAGATGTTGAGTAATCATACGGTGCTGTGATCACAAATGTCACAATGGATTGTTGAGCGAAATGTTTTTCGTTCCAGTCAGAATACTTGTAGAAATAAGAATCATCACTCACTAATTGGCTGAACGGCATACCTTGTTTCAGGTACACACACCCATACACTGCTGCAGCAATATATAGCATAAATAAAATCAGTATAATGATTTTGCAAGGCCACTTTAACACTATCTTCGGTATTAACCAACGAGGAAACTTGTCAACAATACTTTCAGCATCTTCTCTGTCAGTAGGCGCGCGTCCACCGCAACACATCACGTAACGTTTAGGCTTTCCTTCATTACGTAATTCACCTTTACTTTTAATTCGTCTGCATGTTAAAAAATGGCGGTTCTCGGCTACTCGGCGTTCATTTATTGCAACACAGGCAGCAAAGAAGGTGATGTTGTTAAGATAGCAAAAGATGACAGCAACCCCTAAAATTGAGAAAAAATTTTTGTAAATAAATTATTGTAAATAACCCTGAAAAAAACAAACTTTCTTGTTCAGGTTCATAAAACGATCAATAATAAGGTATCTTAAACTGTATGTCTGGCCTTCAACACAAGAAAATCAAATACATGTTATTAATAATACAGATAATTACAAAACTAATAAAAAATACCATTTACAACGTAAGACATACACAAGATGTAATATTTACTCAGGATCAAGTGAAATATTTAAGAACATTACTTGAAATTCCGATAAAAAAAACCCTTTTAAAAGTCGAAAGAAAAAAAGTTGTAACCTGTAAAAATGCAGAAATTTTTAACAGCAAGAAAATTCGACCCGGCTCCCGACATGAATGCAATCAAATCAGTTAGTGAAGTAATTGTAACGCCAACACCGGAAATACGTAATGTCTCCGCCATTTTGTCCTCAACGGATGTTTTAGACTGTGCCTCTGACAATCCGGATAACAGAATAAACATGTCATCTATCCCAATACCTGAAATACATGTATATACAAATACATATAACTTAAAGTCCACGTAATAAATTATTATAATCGTTATACGAAATTGTAGATCGACAAGGGGAAGAAAGTCTCATGGAAAGTACCTTGTGGGCCAACAATATAGAAGGGAGATGGGAGAAAGCTTCTGGGAAGGGCTTAATCTAATGTTGTAAAAACATGTTGCCCAACCCATTTGCATTTTGATATATACTCATTATCTGTATAATATGTTTGTAAACATGTATGTAATGCAATAAAATATGTTTAAACTAAAAAAGCACAGTTGAAAAAAGTTAAAATCTAACATACCAATAAATAATTAATAAATAACTTATAACAAAAAAAGTTAAAAAAATCTCAAATACAATAATGTACCTATAATTAGAAATGGCACGACGCCTACAATGGTAACAAAGCTCACGCCTGCAGCAGAACAAAGACCAATGGCTGCTACAATCGCCAAACCAGCCGCTAGGATTCCAGCAAACCCTAGCCAGATCCTCTGTCCAACCTGATCGGTTACCCTGTAAACATTGTTGCATTGAAACTTGATAAAACTCGCTTAAAATATTAAAGCAAATGTTTTACATTTAACATCTAGATCAGAAGTTACTGTACACTAATTGGAATTTAATGTGTTATATAAATTCATAACTTGTCAGCATGCATACACTTTGTTTTACATACACTTTGTTTTACATACACTTTGTTTTACATACACTTTGTTTTACATACACTTTTGCTTGTGTCGACACATACGTTAACTAAAAATATTTCAAATTTCAAATTTTTTTTACTTCCTTGTCATGATAACGGTGAAATTTTGTCATTATCACACTTAACAGGTTCGGAAGTAAACTGCTGTGCAAATGGTGAAACGGCCGGCATGGTCCATGTGCTTCTGCTGTCTATTTGATCATTAATTTTGATGCAGTCATAATTTAAACACTATTATACATATTTTTCTAATAACTTGCACAAAATAAAAGTCACCAAATTAGAAAAAATAATATATTTCGTCAAAAAGGCGCGGAAATTAATGTTAAACATATCTTATGTTTTACTTCAAATATTTTGTAAAACTTGATAAAAGACACTAAAAAAGTTTTTTCAGTGAAAGATACTAACCTGTATGAAAGTGTTGCGATGAATGCATATGTTATCATCAAAGATATTGTTCCCAGAAACAATGATATATCACCAGTTAGGTTGTTTTCTAATTCTTCACTGACCGATTCAAAATAACCATAAGCTATGTCTATAAACGGGTTACTGTATACATCCATTTGAGCTTTAAACTCCTCCAACTGTTTAAGAAAACAACAGGTATGATTTTAATGCTGATGATGATAATTATGATGACAATTCTAATAATGATGACGATGATGATGATGATGATTATTATTATTATTATAATGATGATGCTTTTAAATATATTATCTAATACATTGTTATTTAATATATAACCACAAATGAAGTTATTATAGCATAAAATGTTGTACATGCAAGTAATTAAGTATTATAGACTCTACTGAAAACAATGTTTACAACATCGAAATGTTCAAACGCTTGAAACCACAAGACAAAAGTTATGTTGGTCACAACTATTCACACTAACAGCAAATATACGTACCCATTCATCCCTACCCCAGAATGGAATCATAACACCCAGTCGTATATAACCTGCACTTTCAACATACTTCCTGCTGCTGTCGAGTACCACATTTCCTGTAAAAAATATCAATTACATTCTTTTATTATTTTTCGAACACTAGTTTGAATTTATACGAATCTATATAAGTTTCACTGTATTAAGCTATAAGCTTATTCAAATTATCTCGAATCAGTTCTTGGAACTAACCAGTACTAAGCAATGAGTGTAAAGATTCTTGCTTACAAAAACAACGGCTTGCACCTTATGGGGTTTGAACCCACGAATAAAGCAATCCGTAGATTACTAGTTCGACGCGTTGACCATTCTAGATTGTTTGAGTAATGATAAACCACATCTGACACAAAGGTGAACGTCGCGTGGCCATGACTTACACTATACCCCCGTTCCCCCTCTACAACCCAAAACCCTTAAAACATCATCCAAACATCATTATGTATTGACAAAAATAAATTTTATGAAAAAAAAAATTTATGACTCTAAAACATTATATAAAATGTTTTAGAGTCATAAAAAAATTTCATAAAATTTTGGGTTTGGGGTTGTATAGTGTAAGTCATGGCCACGGGACGTTCACCTGTGATCTGACACAATAATTATGTATTTCAAACATATTTAAAATATGTGAAAATATACATTGGTTTTGCAGAAGAAGATACAACTAAATAGAGGATATTTGTTTGTTTGTGTGTAAGATGAAATTTCATTTCATCGAGTGAGCTTTATAAAGAGTATTCTCACGAGTGGCGTAAAATAAACATGTACTCGTATAATGTGATTATTAACCTGCAGTATAACGTTCTCCTGTCATGTTCTTTGCAATGTTTTAAAGGATATTTTTTAAAGTATTAAAGAAACATTGTGCTGTAAACAATGACAAACAAAACAACATTACAGTCTGAAAAAATGAAGAAAAAAACACCACAACATGCAGTTATCTATGTAAAAACACACGCAGTTATCTATGTTAGATTAATAACCGGATACTACAAGTATTTGTATGTAAAAATATGACCACAGACATGTAGTAAAACTTCATTAAAATATTAAATCTCACACAGACGATCAGCAATAGATGGCGACGATCACAAAGCACATGTGCATCCCCCAAAGTACATTGTATTAAGCTAAACAAACGGGACGGCACACAGTGGAGCACCGGACAATCAGTGACCGGGATACGACAATTTGGAAATATACAAACCCCCTAGTCGCGGTGCATAGTAAATAACGCCTCTGGTAGAAGAGTTAAATTCTGGGTAGGTAACTTTCTTAGCATCAACAGCCGCTATAAACTCCTCATCTACAAATAGTTCACCTCCAATCGCACATCTTTGATTTATCTTCGCACAAATATCTGTCAGCTGAAATATCAATTTAAAATAGTCTAACATTCTGACTTAATGGAGTTTTACACAGCCTTTTCATTCATTAGAGCCACAGCGTCATGCCATAAATGAGTCAAGTTTTTCTCTTTTTTTTTCTTTTTTTTTAAGTTTCTGAAGAGAGTAACTCTATCGTCGAGTCTGCAACATTCGAGTTTTAAAACTTTGTTTCCATTTGTCTCATAGAGTTACTATTATCAGAATTTGCCAAATTTCCGAACAGCAGAAACCGTCGAATGTTGCAGCTTACATGAACTTTACTTATAAAATGTAACCAGCTGACTCCACTACGGCGTCCTTGGGCCCTTTTCACCGACTTGAACTCAATTTAATCATCAAAGAAAACGAAAAGGTATCAATGATCCCGAAATAGCGGAATAAATATAATGGGATTTCAGATAAAGTAAGAGGCGTCTTTTGACATCAATTATATGATTAAAGCGAATATAATATATATAATTTCTGATATCTATCGGGGGTATTCAGTTAAAAAGCAATAAGTGGAAACTGGAAATCATTATATTATTGGTGTTGTCATAAGAATTGCCAGAGACAGTTTTCAATTTCAGGTTTAATCTTAAAATGAGAAATATGAAATTGCATGTATATAGTTTTCTTTATATCAAAAGTAAAATGCAAAAGTTGCAATCTAATCAGCAAGTTCAAAAACTAAACAGATGGAATTTTTTTAAATTTCAAATTTGATCAATTATTAAGTTTTAGAAAAAAAGCAGCGCGTAATCTTTCAACGTACGGGACTTACAGCCGCTACACAGCACGTAACACAAACAAGATAACAAGACTCGAACATACCGTGACCGTACTTCCGTACTCAGTGGTGGCAGTGACGTTCTGAATAACATGTGACAGTAATACAACTTGTTCCAATATTTGACGTGTTAGTACATTACCACGTTTACTTTTAACAATAACATTCAACCATGGACCATCATATATCAGTCTTAGAGAATCAAAGTTATCATAATTGATGTCTGGAAACAGCTGTTCAATTCTGGCTTCGTCTTTCTCAGCTTGAGACCCATTTTTATGAAAAGAAAAGAAAAAAGCAAAAACAACAAAACAACATATAAAAACTTGTTTACGTCTGTTTTTAAAGTAAATTTAATATCAACATACAAAATGTAATATGTACCCTAAATCCACATACAATCTGGAAGAACATTGTATTAACTTCTAAACTACTACATTGTATTTTTTAAATAGATAATACTAAATGAAAAATCAAAATTGGAATACGGTCCAATTTTCTAATCACCAACAAAAAAACAACAACAATGCCAATCATATAATTATAACGCCGAATATTGGTTACAGTTGCAAAATTAGCTACATACAAAGTTCTGTTCCGATAAATAATTTGTAATTTACAAAACATTTTAGTTCAATAATTCGCCTTATTTAATTGTCAAAAGTTTTTCATTTCTTGATGACGTGTGTTATAGTGTTTAAAACGTCACTCGCCGGTCAATTTCCTGCACCATCTTTTTAGATTTGATTTTTTTTTAACAATCAGTAGAGTTATAGTGATTCACTATTTTGTATGCAAGTCAAAATACTACTGTGTTTTACATTTTACTACTTTAATGACATTTCAAGTGATAGGCATCTAACATGCTCTTCAGTCATTATTTAAATGTTATGAAACTCACGTGTGCACACAAAAAAATTGTTCCTGAGGCAAAGTGTGCCTTCAAACGAAATAATTGTAGTAGAGACACGATGTGATCATGCAAACTAGGTAAAACATTATGGCTTTTAAAAGATACTTAGACATCACGTGACCAGTTCAACAAGATACCTTACCTAACACTTTGAGAAGTGAAGTGGACACATTGGCGCCTTCAAGAGGTAAAATAATTGAGTTTGTGGTTATTTTATTGCATACTAGTGTTGTAAATACTCCGGTTGTTGGAAGAAAACACTCCTCAATGTTACAGGAAAAACAATACCCTACCTTTTTAAATGCACATTAAACATTTAATGCCCAATTGAAATTGTTCGAAATGCTCAAATAAAATTCAACATTAAAATCGTTTTTTTTTTTGTTTTTTTTTTTTTTTTGTTTTTTTTTTTAAACATGATGAACACAGATCAGCATGAACTTAATATTTTGAACTAGGCGATATAAATATATTGATAAATGTACAATAAGATAAACAAGAGCTGTCGGTAGGACAACAACGCTCGACTATTCTTAGTGCTTGATAGTAAAAAAATGCTTGATACAGTTACCTCCTCCTGTTTACAGGTTGGGGTAATGATGGTGAACAAGTGTGCAAAGTTAAGTTTCAAAGCCATATGTCAATAGACTTTAAAATATTTGAGGTATTACAAAAACCTTTAACGTAAATTCTAAGTCGAAAAAGGGACATAATTCTGTCAAAATGCTTGATACAGTTATCTCCTCCTGTCTACAGGTTGTGGTCATGATGGTGAACAAGTGTGCAAAGTTTCAAAGCCATATGTCAATGGACTTTGAATATATTTGAGGTATAACAAAAACTTTAACATGGTTACGCGGACGCGGACGCAGACGCCGACGCCGAAGATCGGGTGACTACAATAGCTCTACTTATTCTTATCGAATAGTCGAGCTAAAAAGTATAGTACTGCAATCCATCCAAAATTATAATTTTGACTCCATGAAATTTTATAATGAACTTGACCGGCTTTGAAAGTGGAACAGTCCGACTGTCTAATGCGATGGTTGGCCGGATGTGCCGGCCTGTTGTCACAGTCTGTATAGATCCTTTCAATTGAAGCTTTTAGTACATTATGCGTGAAGTAATAATCAAGAGGCTTGTGATAATTTTTCAATTTTGAAAATTGCCCCTGCCAAAATTTCAAAATTGAAATTTGATCAAAAAGTCGTTGAGATTTGATCAGTCGTTACATTTTGATAAAATATAGCGGTTGGATAAATTCAAATTAATTTGTGATAGATAAACACTTGGACTAATCAGAAACCTCTTTAATCTCCAATCGAAAGGATCTTTCCAGGCCAGCACATCATGGCGACCATCACATAAGACAGTAGGACTGTTCCACTTTCAAAGTCGGTCAAGTTTATTATAAAATTTTATGTACGAAAGACCGGAAATGAAACTGATATTGTGCGAAATATGAAGAATAAAGTTTGAAGTCATCACTGGTCATTCGTAGGATTAGAATGGAGCTTGTTATTCAATCTGTTGACTACTGGGGAAAATGGCCATTGACAAGCATTCAATTAAATTACTAACATTTTCTTTCCATTACGAGTTACTAATAAATATATAAAGTAAGTTTTCAACCTCTTTAGTAACCTACCGGTATCTGTTATCTAAATTTTCTTTAAATGATTAAATTATGACATTTTATTACACTTTCCTTTATTGTACGTGGACATTTACCTGAAGGAAGATAATTAGAAGCATCATTGTCTAGTTCCAACTTTATCAAGCCTACTCCAAGCCCGGCATTGACAAGGACGGAAATGATCAGCACCTTCCACGCATGCGCAGCTACAAAGCGGCCATATCTGGCGAAAATTCCGCCAATTTTTCTTTCGACATATTGGTATATACTGTTGCATTTCATTCTGTAGATAGAAACACGGTTATTTATGATTTAAATTGTTTTCTAGAGATAAATGTAATCTAATGACATTTCTAAAGCACAACGAGAAATCGAAAATAAATTTTGATGTTATAGTAAAATCAAGACGTTCAAATGAGAGACTCTTTTTACTTAATAACTTACTTTTAGAAAATAGTTGTAGTGAAACATGCCTTTCTTAACAAAATTTTAACAAGAGCTGTAGTTAACAAAAGAGCTTAAAAAATTTTTCAAATCCATGTTACAGTTATAGGCATTGGAGAGAGTCCCATTATACCCTCAAGGAAGTGTATAAAATTTCAACTTGTTTTAAAGCCAGATGTCAATGGAATATGAAAATATCTAAGGTGGTATGCAAATTTTAATGTAAATTCTAAGTCGAAAAAGGGGCATGATTCTGTCAAAATGTTTGATAGAGTTACCTCCTCTTGTCTACAGATTGGGGTATGATGTTGAACTAGTGTGCAAAGTTTTCAAGTCATATGGCAATGGACTTTGTAAATATTTGTGGTGTTAAAAACACTTTAACGTAAATTCTAAGTAGAAAAATGGGACATAATTCTGTCAAAATGCTGGACAAAAATACCTCTTTCTGTGTTGGGGGCATGATGGTGAACAAGTGTGCAAAGTTTCAAAGCCATATGTCAATGGCCTTTGATAATATTTGAGGTGGTATGCAAACTTCAACGTAAATTATATGTCGAAAAATGATTCTGTCAAAATGCATGATTCAGTTACCACTTCCTGTCTATAGGTTGGGGCATGATAGCAAGTGTGCAAAGGTTCAAAGCCATATGTCAATGGACTTTGAAAATATTTAAGGTGTAACAAAATCTCTTAAGGTCAAAATGCTCAACAGAGATACTTCCTCCTATCTACAGAATGGGGGCATGATGGTGAACAAGCGTGCAAAGTTTCAAAACCAAATGTCAATGGACTATTAAAATATTTGAGGTGTTACAAAAACTTTGACATAACGCCAACGCAGACTCCGACGCCGACACTCGAGCGGGTCTATTAATTCTTATCGAATAGTCGAGCTAAAAGCGGTGATTTTAAAGAAAAGTCTAGCTTTCACAAATGAAATACTCCCTAAATTCCAGACGGGATTCAAACGGACAGTGGTGTGTGATTCGAAGTTAATGACCTTAAACAAAAAGGTGAAGAAGAAGAAGAACAACAACAACAACAACCACAACAATAACAACAACAACAAAAGAGGAGGAGAAAGAGCTAAAATATTGACATTTGTTACACATTTTCTTAATAAAATCTTAAATGTCCATAGCAAATGTAGGCTGGTAATCATTTACATAGATAATTATGAAATAAAAGGTAAAAAGCGAGACTTTCAACATCAACAACCACAGCACCGGTGTTGTATGGAATCAGACTAGAACTCAGTTGAACTCAGTAGAACTCAGATTCAAATTACTAAATATAATGTAATTAGGAATAGTTGTATGTAATAGTTAGTAAGTGTTTATCAAATAAACATCTTGGTGAGTTATACTTAGTGGATAATATAAACGGTCAAATATGTCAAACATAATGAAGTAGGTGATCATCTGATACTAAATGTCAACTCATAACGGTAAATAATATTAATTTGAATATCACGTATACACATTCCCTTCATATAAAACTAGCATAAAACTCGTACATCATCTTAACAAAAATAAAACATACAAGAAAAAAAGTATTTTAAAACATTAAAACAATGCTGTACGCCTCCATATTTCACGCTACTTTAATCGACATGTATAGAAAGTGTTCTTAAATGTGAAACTGTTATAAAACATACAAATAAAGTGATATTAATATGGAAGCGTGCTACTTTTTATAATAAACGACATGTTATTTGATATAACCCTTTGAAGTTTCTGTAGATAGAATGCGAACGCATTTTAATCTATATTGAATAGTCACTGTGAGAACACCCGTACTCCAATAATAAAATGATACTTGTCTTTTTATACGCATCTTTTACAGAGTTCACAGTGTATGTTTTGTCGTCCAAGCATATTCAAAATCTTTTTCAGTTTATTTGTTTATGTTTAAACTTATCTTCTTTTAACAAATACGGCGATATCTAAACATACGAAACTTGCACAAATAGGCTTTTATCACCTAAAATGCAGGGTGTAACAAATACACCTTAATCTCGATTAAAAAGTGTATACATAACCTATATTTTGCTTCCTCCGACCCCAGATCTAGTTTTACATATTTGTTTGACTATTCAATTACTTTTTATTGATCAATTATAAAGATATTGAATATTTTCATCACTTTTAAGGATAGATCAATTTTTATAAATTCAAAACATATTCACTACTCGAATTAATATTTAACAAGAGACAGAACATCACAGAATCCAGTATTAATCAAACAAAGGACAGACACTCTCTTGACATTTTTACTACAATAAAAACGAATGAGAATTATTTAAATAATTTAGCTAAATGACGGAAGTTTTTCCTGAACATTGTATTGTATGAGAAAAAAAACATATTGGAAAATATAAGAAAACTTTACCTGCGTAATTTAATCAAAATGTAATCGTATTCATAGCGACAAATAAAACACACTTTATATTACCATTAGACAAATAAACAAAACACCGATTAAAATACACCGATTATAGTATCTCTATTTATATCAGATCTATTTATATCTAGTCAATGATCACGAAGTCATTTGTAAAGTAATCATTCTGTATGTGCACGAAAAGTTATTAGCCAGTAGCAAAAACCAATAGTCAATACCATATTAAAAGCAAAATTATGTAAATGATTAAATTACTTATATAGAGCCAGTGCTAGTGGGATTTCTTTCATCATCATTAGTAAATTCACGCGAGATTTGATAAAGTTAAAATTTCGAAGAAGCTTGATTTAATTGCACGAATGTTATGACTCTGAATTTGTAAAGAAATGAACTTGAAAATTCAGGGTATTGAACTTGGTAAACTGTATCGATCATAGGACATTTCATATATGCTGATGTCAATTTTAATTTAGATACTTGTTTAAAATAAAAGTGATTTCAGATGGATGAAAACTCTCACTAAATATGTAACATTTAAAGAAATATAATTAATTATCAAATTTGATACCTCGAAATGCGAACTATTTCCATACAATGACTAGAACCAATGTTTGACCTTAACCAAACCTTTTAATGCGTACACATTAAACATTTAAAATAAAAACAAAATATCAACAAAAAAGTAACTTGACTTTTTTTTCTGGTTACACATGTAATCATGATTGGTGATCAATGCCAGGAATTTGTTCATCTAGAGGATCGAAAACGCTATAAATAAATGGTACAAGAAACGATACATACACGTTTATTGCATCGTGTTACTTTATATGCGTTGGCGGAGAAAAACGTCAAAAACATTAAAATCAAGTGACGTTCAAATTAAAGTCACTTTTATCCCATTTTTTGTGTTTTCGACTTTGTCAGTTGAACTCCTTTTTTGCAATAATTTTTTATAAATGGATTAAGATAAATATATATATATAAATAAATGAATGAATGAATGAATGAATGAATGAATGAATGAATGAATGAATGAATGAATGAATGAATGAATGAATGAATGAATGAATGAACGACCGAACGAACGAACGAACGAATCAATCAATCAATTAATCAATTAATGACTATTGTAGGTATACCCCATGTGTTTACCCCATAAGTTCATGGTCTATTATACTGTTACAATAGAAATTCCATATTCTAACCGGCCACAAGTACAATGTACTTATAATATTATAATCTTTGTAAAAATGTTATTATTTAATTTTAATAATGATGAATAACAAATCTTATGTTAATTATTATAGGTCAATTTATTACATTTCGTATGTCTAGAATGTCAGGTTATATTCGTTTCTGCAATAAACCCTCTACAAGAGCTAATTATTTCAAAGTGAGTGAGTGAGTGAGTGAGTGAGTGAGTGAGTGAGTGAGTGAGTGAGTGAGTGAGTGAGTGAGTGAGTGAGTGAGTGAGTGAGTGAGATGTTGAGTGAGTGAGTGAGTGAGTGAGTGAGTGAGTGAGTCAGTGAGTGAGTGAGTGAGTGAGTGAGTGAGTCAGTGAGTGAGTGAGTGAGATGGTGAGTGAGATGGTGAGTGAGTGAGTGAGTGAGTGAGTGAGTGAGTGAGTGAGTGAGTGAGTGAGTGAGAAAAGCTTCCTGACAGAGTTAACCCTTTATCTGCTAGTGGCGAGTGCTTCTATCTATTCGGCCAGTGCTGACCGTCTGATCCTGGTCTGCACTGTTCACTATTACGTCAATGTTCCCTGAAGGTGATGTATGACTTTGTACAGATAGAAACATAGACAACTCCACCTTATAAATGCAGTGTCGTATTAGGATTAAAGAACGTACAACGTAAAAAAAAATTCACAATCACAGTAACACTTTGCATGGTTTATAAAATAGTTACCATAGTTACAAAGTAGAGACTATTTTCAATATTTTTCTCTGTGCCATAGATGATTTTCATCAGTGTCATAGATTATTTCCTCAGTGTCATAGATAATTTCTGCGAGTAAAATAGTGTCTTGGTCTGTTGCTTTAATCACTTTATTTGTACGTAATTATAATATGTTTTACTAATAAGACCACTTCCCAAATTTTCATATATCTATGGAAACAACTAGCCTAATTAATTCGGCGTGAACGGTTTGACCCATTTTACAAACTTTTTTGTTTCATACTGTCAAAGACATCGCCCGTCCAAAATTAGCTCGATGTCTCTAAGACAAGTCTAATTAGTGTGACTATGGAAACAACATATATTACAAGACAGTAAAAATATAAGTGACTGTAAAAATATGTGACCTGTGACCTCTGTCGTTATCACTCATTGTTCATAGAATACATTGTGTTTAATATGACCACCTGTCTGTGTTTGAATAACCATAAACTTACAGAATATTGCCAGTTTTATAGTTTATTCAAGTCCCTTTCTCTCATGTACAAATATATTTCACCAGGTTACTAAGTGCATTTGAACGCAATTTTAATACATGCAGTGAACGAAAATAAATCTAAGGTTTAACATTAATATTTTCAAGATTAATAATAAAGAAGTACCTGAGTATTGATTAACATTGCGTATTTATCCCATTATCAAAAGAGGACGCATAAATTAAAACACCAAAATAACAATATTACACACGGCTATTTTTATCATAATCTTTATAGCACAATCTGGCTTAGTAACTAATGAATTGGTCTTTATTTTACACATAGAAAAAAGAACAATACAGTATAATTATACATGTAATTATTATTATATACGACCAATCATTATTTTATTGTGTAAATATATCACTTTTAACGCCGAAGAAAGGTAACCCGACTCGTTAACCCCTTAGTTTTAGCGTTAATTAAATCCTGGTCTGCTATGTTCTCTATTTTAAAAAAAAAAAAATGATGAAAAAGTTTTGTCAATATTGAAATAAATATATTAGTGCCAGAAGCATAAATATAGCAGAGAAACGAATTACATAACACCTGTCCTAATACAAGACTTTTCTTTTCTGATTAACAGTTAAAATGAACAGTAAATTTAACATTTCATTTAATTAGAAACATCTACCTTTTGTCTTCCTGCGACCTGATATCGATGAAGCATTTAATACATGAACGAAGTTGCCACTATCAAGCTGTTCCTATAGTAACCTATAAACTTAATTAAATTTTTGTCCAAACCTAGCAACTACAACGACAATATCAACGTATGGATACCAATCGATTCTCTGATAACCTTTGTACCTTTATACAGTAGGGTTGTTTAAGAGATTCTTACATAAATTTCATAACATATATTAAAATTCTCTGTTATTTTTCATCGTACTCGTGAGTCTCAAGTATACTATGTATTCATCTTAACCACATTTTATACTTCCGGTTTTGTTTGCTCGGGTGTTGAGACCCTAACGAGGTACATACACAAATCCAGGCTTTTTTACCAGAAGGGGCCGAACAAAATTTTGTTTATGGGTAATGCATGTTTCAAAGAAGGTTGACTATTTTTCCAGAGGGGAGTCACGAGAATTTTTTCCGCTGATTTTCACTTTTTTGCGTGATTTTCGCTAAAAAAACGTAAGTTGATGTCCAAATCTTAGAGGGGTTCAACATATTAGGCAAAACCCAGGAGGGGTGGGGGGAGTGAGGGTCATTTATTAGTCCATTTTTACACGTAGATTGTCTCCTGGTTATGAAATAAATTGCTCATTGCGAACCCGAGTATGATACCGTGAAAGTTTCATGTTTCTGTCGTGTTTTCTTTCTTACCTACAACAAAAGTTGTCCCTATTTTTTGTACGGTAGATGGTCCGAGTGAATATGAATAAGTTTTCACTTATTTAATTGTCTGGTAATCTTAAATTGAAATCCTTTGCTCAGGGGTTACTATGTATAGTACATGTATCTAAATTAAAGTTACTCTCTCTACATAAATATAAAATTTAATTATGAACATGATAATAAGTATTATGGTAAAGTTGCACATAAAAGAAAATGCCATTTCTTACTTGAACCAGAGAGGTGGTGACAAGTAGACCTTTAAGAAGAATTCTTATGACATATACGGTGATACTGATTCTTCCAATCATTATTTATATTGCAAAACAATTGTCATTAATAAAGATACATACCAATCTCAAATGTTTACAATATCGAAACGCTTTAACCACAAAAGATATGACTAATTAAACTTTTGAGATATAAAACTGAAAATCGTCTACTTACGCTGTTTTCCCGTCCATGTTTGTGGTTTAATGCCTTTTAATATAGAAAACAGTTCATTGATATGATATAACTATTGACTGGGTAAATCGTGAAATGTTTAAAGCGACAATGTTACTCTCGCAATATCACGATACTATTATATACAGCACATGATGAGGCGTATTTTGTCTGTGATATTGAAATCGATTCTCCGGAAGATAACCTGTAAATCATTTCATTCCTTCAGTTCTGATTGGTCAATATAAAAGTACAAAATATCTTGTGCAATCCATGTGATATATTCTCCATGGCCATTGTCGTTCTTTTTGCTGTTGTTTTATTGTTATTTAAGATTTTGCTAGATCTATTTTTTTTTCTCCTCACTTTGTAAAAGAGGAAAATAAAGGAGTCTTTTCAACAACTTTTTACCATTAATTTAATCATCGCACGTCACCATATCCGGAATATCCGACCATGTATAAAATGTGTAAAGGTTAAAAAATGAGATAATCCAAATGAATTGTGCAACCATTGTATTGATAATAAACATGTTCAAGAACTTATTTTATGACATACAGGATATTGAATGAGTGTAAGCTTGATACTGAAATAAATTTAGTAACGAACCTACGCGAATATGATATCCTATATTCATCACATATCGAAAATAAAGACTGTTTGGTTTTCTCAAACACATTGTCCTTAACGAAGCTGTTCTCAAGTATTATATGTTATTCTCAATTATACCAAAAGTCAAGTAAAATTCAATAATTTGACGGGGGCGTCCGTGGCCAGGTGGTTATGGTCGTTGACTTCAATTAAACAACTTGCCCCTCACCGCTGTGGGTTCGAATCACGACAGGGACTTTGGATTCTTTCATGTGAGGAAGCTATCAAGCTAGCTTACGGAACGTCGGTGTTTCTACTCAGGTGCCCGTTCGTGTCTGAAATAATGCACAGAAAGGCACCCGAGGTCTTCTTCCACCAGTAAAGCTGGAACGTCGCTAAATGACCTATACTATGTCGGTGTGACTTAAAACCCAAAACAAACAATAATTTGACCTTTAAGATTAAGGTCATTGATGAGTAAAGGTCATAATCAATTTAGTCTACTTGAAGGGCTTGTCAAGGGAATAGTTGGGTCCAAATATGAAGACAATCCAGTCATAAATAAGCAATTATCACAGTATTGCAAGCAATCCATAAGTCCCCTACCGGTTAGAACCCCAGCAACATTCTGATGGGCCATTGGCCATTCAATTTTACCAGTGAATGAATGACATGAATGAACTTAAATCTTTTGAGTTCTAAGTTTGTCTATATCACAGTAATGTGTTAAGTTTCCCTGCCTAGTAAGGAAATTATGTTTATACAACCTTGTCATATTATTACGATGTGGGATTTTAAAGTAAATCCTATAATGAATGAAGAAGTTGGAGTTAAAAATACCAATTTCTCGAAAAAAAAATCTAAGCTCAAGGGGGGCATAATTATGGAATAGTCTTGCTAGAGTATTTAACCTTCTCAAAAATGTTGAGTGATAATAAGAAACATATATATGAAGTTTGAAGTAGATACATCAGGAAATAAAGAAGTTATTTAAAAAAGACAACATTTTTTTCATAAAAATTCTAAGTTCAAGGGAGGTAATTCTGATAATTTTTGTGCTAGAGTTGTAAACCTTGTCACATATGATGTGGTTGATGACTAGAAACTTATATTTAAAGTTTGAAGTAAACACCTTAAGTTATAGTGAAAAAGCTGAAAAAATTAAATCAGAAATCTTGAAATTCAGGCTATTTGTTGCCATATAGCAACCAGAATTTTCAACATAGGAAGAAAAGAAAAAGATATCATGCATAATCTCCAGACTGCCATCTACCCATATTTAAAGTTTCATAAAAATATTTTCAGTACTTTTTCAGTTATCACTGGATCCAGTTTATGTGTTAAATTAGCCATATTTTCAGACTATTTGTTGCCATAGCAACCAGAATTTTCAACATATGAACAAAAGAAAAAGACGTGCATAATCTCAATACTGCCATCTATCCATATATCAAGTTTCATAAAAATATTTTTAGTACTTTTTGCGTTATCGCGGGATCCAGTTTTGTGGACGGACGGACTGACAGACAGACAGAGGGTAAACCTAAAGTCCCCTCCGGTTAAACCGGTAGGGGACTAATAAACCTAAGGACAGGCATTAATTAATATTTTAAGGCATCATAAAGGGAAATAATTACATAAAAGTAGAATTATGTTTCTTAAACATTGTACTTCCTCTAACTATCAATGTATGAAGTTTTAATCAAATTTTTCAACACACGGACTGACTGGAAGAGGAACAAGGATATATGCTCATATATCAGGAGTATTTACAAAGATATAAGATATGACTTCTACGATACAGGAAGGTAGGACTCCCACATGTGTCATGAGGAAAGTGTCTGTTTGACCGAAGATAAATGAAAATCTTAATGAGCTATTAGACATACGAGTAGTCAGATTTCTATAAAGCTTAAAATAACCATCCGGTTGGGGTTATTGACAACAAGAAGGCCAAGATGGCCCCAGATCGCTCACCTGGCACATCGAAACTCATCCGAGCAATTACATATGTACTTAGAGGGCAAGCAAACTGACCAAGTTAAAGGAAAATTGAGTCAAAACTGTGACCACAAGAGTTAACAATGTTTTCCCATATTTGGGTAGTGTGACCTAGTTTTTGACCACAGTTGACTCATATTCGAACTTGATTTAGAAATCATCAAAACAAACTTTCAGACCATTTTCCAGGATATTTGGATCAAAACAGTAACCACTACAGTACAAGATTTTTCTATTTTTAGCTCCTGTGACCTGGTTTTTCATCTGAGATGACCCATGTTCGAAATCATCTGATCAATTACCTAGACAAGCATCCTGACCACGTTTGATGATAATTGAGTCAAAAATATGACCACTAGAGTGTTAACAAGGTTTTTCCATATTTGGGCAGTGTGACCTAGTTTTTAACCGCAGGTGAACCATATTCAAACTTGATCTAAAAATCATCAAAACAAACTTTCAGACCAATTTCCAGGATAATTGGATCAAAACTGTAGCCACTAGAGTGTTAACAAGACTTCTCTATTTTTAGCTCCTGTGACCTTAATTGTTTTTCATCTGAGATTACCCATGTTGGAACTCATCCGAGCAATTACCTAGACAAGCATCCTGACAAAGTTTGCTGATGATTGAGGCAAAAATGGACCACTAGAATGTTAACGAACAAATGTGGACGGACGACTGACATTCAAGGATCCCAAAAGCTCACCCTGAGCTGAAAAAGGATACATATAAAAAGAAAAACAACTTATTATTGCAATACTTTTAATGGCAATAAATATCAAGCACAAATTCAATCAGCACTAATGAACATGATAACTAATAGTTAAAGACTTAGTGTGTCAATATTGAAGCATTTTAATCAAAACATTAACATACATTTGGCACAGAAACATAAATACATAGTACTTTTATATCTTAGAAGCATTTCATGCACATATTTCACTACTATATAACACAAGTTCGAAGTATATTGTAAAATTGTAACATTACTTCAAATCACCGGGAACAAAAATCAAACTATATCTCCACCATAAGTTGATAAATATTAATATGGGAAGTTGAAACAAAAATCTGAAACTGTTACAAAGACAGGCCTTTGTAACAAGACTTTTAAATGATAAAATGATACATTGAATGGCTAAGCCGTGCTTTACAAAACAAACATGATATAAATGCTAAGGAACAGATGAAGCATGTTTTACATGAAAAAGAACATAATAATTTATATAAAAAACATTATATATTGCACTTGATTAAGATGATTAAAAAAATCTAATAAATACAAACTTCTGCTGCATCTGATGCCATTTTTTCTAAAAATGTTGTGATAATATTGGAAAAAACCTTGTTTTTCTCTGTGATACATTGACATAAATAACAACTGACACATAAATATGCATAATGACTTAATTCATATACAATACTGTCAACAAAAATGTAAATAGGTAATGACTAACTGAGGAGTCTCCAATAAATACCTTCACTATTTCAACCTAGTATACATGTATATTAATTTGTACATAAAACAACATCTCCTTCCAAACAACAAGTCTTTGTTGTTAAAGACCATGCAGTAATAGGTGAAAACATCATATGCAAATTTATCACAAAACTAGTTCACCCTTAACCTTCTTATTTCCTGTATGGACTTATTCAGCTTCCAGTTTTGGAACTGTTTTAAGTACAATTTTGGGAATATCACGATTAAAATTGAAACTGGTTAGTCAACAGCATAGAGACTGGTCATACTGCACAACTGCACATACCTGCCTGGCTATATACTGGTGGTAAAGGGTAATCACGTTTGGTACAAACATACTCCTATCAGTTACCCTACTGAATTTGTACAATGAACTAGTCCTAATTTGATTTTGGAACAGTCAATTAGCAGTTAAAGGGATGTCAGTTTCAAAATATTATCAATTAGCTATCAACAGTATAGAGCCTGGTCAGACTGCAAGGATAACCAAATTAACCAGGCTGCACTGTATACTGTTATAGGTAAATGATATTATTACTATATCATACATAGAGGATATTGAATGAGTGTAAGTTCAATACTGAATTTATTGCGCGAGTTGAATAAAATTATATTATGCGAGCCTCTGGCGAGCATTATCTTATTTTATTCAACGAGTGCAATAAATTCATTAATCAACTTACACGAATTTAATATTCTATTTATCACATACCCAAAATAAAGACCGTTTTAAGTGAAATAAAGAGTCATTTTGTCTTAAACGCGCATATAGTTTAACGCTAACATACACTATGTTTGTATAACGCTAATGACTTTACGTCAAGATATATGCACAGCCGTGCAATACCATATTTACGGAGTCGCAAAATCGGCACGGGTGTGTGATAAAATACATTAAAAAAGAGAAATACACATTTTCTTAAGTTTTCAAACTGAGATTGTATACAAAAAACAATGAGATTCCAATTGAAAAAGCAAAATTTTGCTTCCAACAATTTATATTTTCAAAATTTTACAATATGTTTATGCTGCCATCACTTGAAATTCCTCTAAATTAAATTTTACTCTTGAATGCTTCACTTCCAAAGAAAATCACAAGGAAACAAACAGCCCACTTTGACCAATTGCCCTCATCTAAAATTTCAACAAAATATTCTAAGAGAAACAATATTTTCAATGCAATTCAAGTTCTTCCTTTATTAAGAGAACATGATTATTTTCTGCTATGCAGCTTTTTAGAATAAGAAACTCAAGGACAAGATTTGCTATCAAGAACTGTATGTTTGCTATTAACCCCGTTTTCTTTTCATTTTACTGAATAAAAGGCTTCAAAATAACAATAACAATAACAAACAAAGGTATTGCAATATACCTGACAAAGGAAGTGCTAGTTCATATTCAGGTAAATGCACAAATCTATAAAAATAATATAATACAATATCCATTATTATCCATTTAACAAATAACAATTCCACTAGGATTGTCAACAAGAGGGCCATGATGGCCCTGAAGTCGCTCACCTGTATATAGGCCCCCCCACCCACGGGCCAATATTTACCCAAGGGCTTTTATTTGTTTATTTGAACAGACTTGGTAGACATCCATAAGATGTTTCATGCTAAACATCTAAGTTCTAGCTCATTGGGTTTTTAAAAAAAAGATTTTTAAAGTTTTTACTATACACATATAGTTAAAAACAATGACACCCCTGGGGCAGGGCAAGTTTTGACCCCCAGGCTTTTATTTGAACAAACTTTGTAGATATTTACTTAAAGATGTTTCATGCTTAATATCTAAACTCTAGCTATTTGGGTTTTTTCAAAGAAGATTTTTAAGTTTTTGCTATACACATATATAAGGAAAATCAATGACACCCCCCCCCGGGCGGGGCCAGTTTTGACCCCAGGGCTTTTATTTGAACATACTTGGTAGACACCCATTAGAACATGTTTCATGCTAAATATCTTAGCTCTAGCTCTTTGAGTTCTTTAAAAAAAGATTTTTTAAGTTTTTACTATATGAATATTGGGAAAATCAATGACCCCCCGGGGCGGGGCCAATTTTGACCCCAGGGTTTTTATTTGAACAAATTTGGTAGACACTCATTAGAAGATGTTTCATGCTTAATATCTTAGCTCTAGCTCTTTGGGTTCTTTAAAAGAAGATTTTTTAAGTTTTTACTATATGCATATAGGGAAAATCTATGACCCCCTGGGGCGGGGTCAATTTTGACCCCAGGGCTTTTATTTGAACAAACTTGGTAGACATTCACTAGAAGACATTTCATGCCAAATATCTAAGCTCTAGCTCTTATGGTTCTTTAAAAGAAGATTTTTAAGTTTTTACTATATGCATATAGGGAAAATCAATGACCCCCCGGGGCGGGGTCAATTTTGACCCCAGGGCTTTAATTTGAACAAACTTGGTAGACACTCACTAGAAGATGTTTCATGCTTAATATCTTAGCTCTAGCTCTTTGGGTTCTTTAAAAGAAGATTTTTTAAGTTTTTACTATATGCATATAGGGAAAATCAATGACCCCCTGGGGCGGGGCCAATTTTGACCCCAGGGCTTTTATTTGAACAAACTTGGTAGACATTCACCAGAAGATGTTTCATGCCAAATATCTAAGCTCTAGCTCTTACGGTTCTTTAAAAGAAGATTTTTTAAGTTTTTACTATATGCATATAGGGAAAATCAATGCCCCCCCGGGGCGGGGCCAATTTTGACCCCAGGGCTTTTATTTGAACAAACTTGGTAGACACTCACTAGAAGATGTCTCATGCAAAATATCTTAGCTCTAGCTTCTAGGGTTGTTTAAAAGAAGATATTTAAAGATTTTTCTTTCGGTTGCCATGGCAACCAGAGTTCTGCATGGAATTAAATTCTTTGAACAATTTTCAAAGGTGACCACCAAAGGAACATTCCTGTGAAGTTTGGATGAAATTGGCTCAGTGGATTATGAGGAGATGTCATTTAAAGCAAAAGTTTACGGACGGACGACGGACAGACGACGGACGGACGCCGGACGAAAAGCGATCACAAAAGCTCACCCTGTCACTTTGTGACAGGTGAGCTAATAAAAAATAATGTAATAATTGTGATATAAATGAGATGATATTTCCCACAATCAGGCAGTTCATCACAATACTGACAAGCCTTTTTTGTCCATTTAACACTACAACAAATGGTTTACAATAGAAAAACATTTATCAAGTATTACTTGTGAATTATTACATCCCCTCTGAGTGTGAAACAGACTATCCATATACTGGTGCATGTATCATCTATGACAGACTCTTGATCCAATTTTTTACAATACTCAGGTAAGACATACTGTATATACTTATATAATGTGATTTACTTCAGCAAATAATTTCTATTCACTACGAAACATCATCGTGAGGTAAAATTATTCTGATGCTTGACATTCATACATCTTCCCCTTTAATTTCAGTCCCGGATGAAGATTTCATTGTAACCTTCAACAATTTCGCACCTGCCGAGTTATCATTGTCGGATACATCTTTTAATTTACTATCATTTGCTTCCGTATCCTCATTGGCCATGGCTGACTTCTCTGATTCTTTATCCTCGGTAACCTTCAACAACTTCCCACCTGCCGAGTTATCATTGTCGGATACATCTTTTAATTTAATATCATTTGCTTCTGTATCCTCATTGGCCGTGGCTGACTTCTCTGATTCTTTATCCTCGGTTTCTGCATTATTTTTTCCCGGTCCGAACCAGGACAAAACCACCGGAAGTAAAAACAGAGCATGCATGATGCCAAAGAGCAGGACAAATGCCATAACTGCAGCAAACGATCGGAAAATATAAGATTTTGCACCAACAAGAACTAACACACCCAAGATAGACGAGACGGCACCATGGAAAATTGGAGCACCAGTTTTATCAATTGCTTGCCGCACCCTAGTAGGGCGAGTCCCTCCATCAGACATCATGTAACCATGGCAAATGTGGGCCGTAAAGTCAACAGAAAAGCCAATACTCATAATCAACATCACCATTGAGATTGCACTTAACGACACATTCAAATACAACATATAGCCTACAACACCTACCATTATTGAAGCAACAGCCACAGTGACAAACAGAATCAGTACAGGGTGTGGCATAAATAAACACGTGATCACAAAAACTGATGCAAGAGCAATACCAACAGATTGGGCAGTCAGTCTTAAAATGCGAACATATAACTCAGCTATGGTAAACACTGTTGAAAAGGCAAAACAATCAATTGAAGCAGTTTCAGCTATTTTGCGTGCTTCTAACATAAGTTCCCCCTCTTCGTTATGTTTAAAACTTTTCGAACGTACATATACACGAGATGCTAGGATAAGGCTTTTGTTAAAGTCCACTGCAACATCATGGTAATACATCATGTACTGCGGATCACTGAAAAACCCTTTCAATCCCAAATAAAAACGCATTTCTGATCCAACACTGTAATGTTGTGATTCTCTGAAGGATTTAATCCAATTTACTTCATAGTTTTCTTCAAAGAAAGGACTGGCTTGTGCTCTAGAAATCAATTCATCCACCTGTGACTGTGTTTCCTGTAAGGAATAATTTTGTGTACTTGGTATAACAAACATCACCACAGCTTGCCGAGGGAAGTGTTGCTCATTCCATTCAGAGTACTTGAAGAAGTACGAGTCATCACTTACTAACTGGGAGAAAGGCATTCCTTGTTTCATGTGAATACAGCCGTATATTGCAAAGATAATGTACGGAATATATAACACCAAGATGACAATCTTGCATGGTAATTTAAGGACTATTTTTGGGATTAGCCACCGAGGGAGTTTGTCAATCAAACTTTCTGCTTCTTCTCGGTTCCTCGGTGCACGTCCTCCACAGCAGGTGACGGTAAGGTTAGATTCCCTTTCTTCAAGTAAATCTTCCTTCGTTTTTATTGGTTGACATGTCATAAAATGGCGATTGCCATCTACACGCCGTTCGTTGATAGCAACACAGGCTGCGAAAAATGTGATGTTGTTTAGATAGCAAAACACCACTGCAATAGCTGAAATATAAAAGAAACAGGTAATTACATTATTTTTCAGTATAAAGATGTATAGAGATTAATTAAATCAAATAGCTTAACATCTTTCATAACTAATATAAAACAATGTGTTCATCAGACATTATTTTAAAAACAAAGAATAGATTGTAAAATTATCATAATTCCATATCAAGACCATTGTCATGCTTTATGATAATTTCAAATATAAGATGGCCATATATAAAACATTTATTTTTCTTTTTTCATGTACATGTATTATTATTTTTCATATTGCAAGACATTCTTAAGAATGATATGAATTTAGTTAATACATGTCTATATATCATTCAAATTAACAGTTTCCCTGCTGAAACTTTCTCCGTCAGTGAAGAACCAAGCTAGTCTGGACATCCCTGCAGTTTGACCGTATTCTATAATGTCGGCTAAGTAACTTTAAATTTTCATCTTGGTACCCACAGTTGATAATAAACAGTACTAATAAATGGAAGCTGGATAAGTCCATTTAAGAAATTCAGCACCCGTTAAGGATAAATTGCCAACACTTTCATCACTAAAATGAAAGGCTGTCAACACAGTTATGACTTGTCATCAAAAACTGTTGAATACTTGATCACTAAAGAGCTATGCTCTAAATTCAGGTCAAGTTATTCACCTACCTGTATAAGTGCAGAAATTTTGGACCGCCACAAACTCTGACCCAACACCCGCCATGAATGCAATAAGATCTGTTAGAGAGGTGATAGTGACACCTACACCAGATACACACATTGTTTTAGCCATTTTATCTGCCACTGTCGTTTCAGTCTGAGCTGCTGATAAGCCCGACAGCAGTAAAAACATGTCATCAATACCAATACCTGAAAATAGTAGTCTATTAAAATAAACAGTAACATTGCCTTTGTGTTACCATGCTAAACTATGTAAAAAAGGACATGTTTTTAATCTCCAGAAACACATGTAAGTTGATTACCTTTCAGTATATAGAGGATATTGAATGAGTGTAGTTTAATACTAAATTTATTAAACTCGTTGAATAAAATCATATTATGCGAGCCTCTGGCGAGCATAATATTGTTTTATTCAACGAGTTTAATAAATTTAGTATTGAATCTACACGAACATAATATTCTATTTATCAAACATATAAAATAAGAACAGTAAACTGTTAGAATGAGTAATTTTTCAATGACGCGCCTATAGTGTAACGCTAACATTAGCGCGCTTTAACGCTATGTTTATATATAGCGCAAATGACGTCACGTCAAAGTGTTATTACACTAGTGTAATATCGTTTTTATTAAATGGCTTTATTACACTCCTGCGCCGCGTATTATGTGATAAAAGACTTTTGTATTTTTTTGAATTAGATATTAAAACAAAATTAGCAAAAAATGTAACCCTAACTTTTAAGATTATAAACCTGTTTCTTTAATATGAATGAGAACAAAGACAACAATAGAAGTAACAATGTCATGTCAGTTAGTATGGAGGCAAACCAGTCTGAACATCTGTACAGTCTGAACACACTCTAATGCATACAAGCTGATAATTCTAGTATTTCTAATTTTTGAATTAAATTCAAAATAAAATTTACAGTCAAAAATGCACAGCAGATATTTACACAAATTCTGAACAAGAAGGGTTATTAATATTACACAATTACCTATGATAAGAAACGGAACCACGCCCACTATGGTCACAAAGCCAACTCCAGCTAAAGAACATAGACCTATAGATGATGTGATAGCCATGCCAGCTGCAAGAATTCCAGCAAACCCTAGCCAGATCCTCTGTCCAACCTGATCAGACGCTCTATAATACAAACAAGAATATCAAGTTGTAAATCTATACATGATCAAATGAATAAAATATGGAAAAGTGATCACTCTGTCTGATCAATAAGGAATCAAATCCCAGTAAAACAATATTTCGTGAGGGATTAAATTTTGCCAATTTCCAGTATTGAATATTTTTGCAAAATATACATTTACTTAGTTCTGTATCATTGAATATTTCTACATAACAAAAAGTTTGCAAATGTCCAATAAAGGACTTTTTGTGTGCCGAAATATTTGCTAACGTAAGATTTCCAGAACTCCAGTAATATTAGCACGGTTGTTATAACAATTAGATAATCAAATACTAACTAGTAAATGAATAAAACCATTTACCAAAATTTTTAACTCATTTTAACCAGTCAAGAAAATGTATTCCAGCAAGTGGTTTAAATTTGCTTTTATAATCATCAATTGTCATACAATTAAACTGTATGAAAAAAATTCTTTTGTTATAGGTTATATTACAGGGCTTTCATTAAGTTCCAAAATTTGGAAGTCGATTCTGAAAAATATCTGACATTGGAAGTCACATTATGTAGGTAAAGGAGGAAAAGCATTACATTTTGAAAGTCACAAGCCAAAGTCAGGAATTAATGACTCTCGAACTTCCACTACCTTTTTTGTTATTATTTCATAGTGTAAAATATTAAATGAACAAATTAATCATGTTATATGTTTGTTTGTATTTAGCAAGGTTATTCATTTATGGGATATATTTACATAGAAACCGCTGCAATGGTGTAATGTTAAAATGATGGCCACTGAAGACTTTACTAAAGTTGATTTATTTGCTAAATATTTTGATTTGCAAAAATCACAAATATTTCCAAAAGCAAAATTTACCACTTAGACAGTATTATATACATAATTGCACAGTAAACGGAGACATTATTTGAACCCCAAGAAAGATCCGGAAGAAGAGAAATGAAATACCTTGAAGAAAACGTGGCCGCAAATGCATACACGATCATCAAAGCCATTGTTCCTCCGAACAGTGTTATATCACCTGTCAAATTTTTCTCCAACTCCTCGTTCACTGAACTGTAGTATCCATATGCTATATCAATATACTGACTAGAATATACTGCCATTTCTTCTTTGAATACTTCCAGCTGTAGATTATGAAATAAGTTAAATTTTTAAAACAAAAGGAAATTGTCATCGGGTTCATTACAAAAATCTCCAAAAACTCCTGTTCATTTAAAAGAAAACTTTCATTTTTCAAATCAAAGTTACATTAAGTCACACCTAGTGTAACTTATGTCCTTGCTTTGCTGAATGGGACTGTCTTATCTGAGCAATACAGACCAAGATAGATCCGCCCATTCAGCTGGGCTGGACTGTCCAGAACTACCTAACCTTGTTTAATAATATGATTTGATTATACATTGTTAGTTGAAGAAGACACATATGTCAGACCTATATTATACCAGGTGCTAGTTGAGTCTAACATAATATTTACAGCTGTGTATGAGTCAAATAGAATCAGTTTATACTCAAGAACACAAGCGCTAGTCACATAATCAAATATTTTACATAATCGGCCTATATATGTATATTAAGATATATATAGCCCATATAAAAATTAAAAAAGTTTGTTTCAAGCACCTGTACTTTCAAGCACCTGTACTCAAGAATGTATCTGACAGTTTTACTTCACATCATCTTATCTTCGCTTTATCTTTGAGTACAGAAAGAATTTGATATGATTTTTTTGTACACTGAAAATGAAAACTTTGCTAGATGTAGCACATTAGTGTCTTTCTATGAAATTTTTTGGCTGGCAAACTGGAAAACGATGATTTATTGATAAAATATGATCCAATAACAAGTAATATTGGGAGATCACATGGTGCAAATGTTGGAAGTTTATTGTTTACACCCCAGGTGCCAAATGTAGACAGGGTGGACTTTTACACAATTAAAAGTCACAAAAAATACCCTACATACCCAATGATAGTGACCATATAATGGGATCATTATCTGTAGTCGGAGAAATTCAGCACTCTTCACATATTTTTCACTTGCGTCAAGTTCAACTTTACCTGAAATATGGAACAAAGGTCCATGATAGCCCTGTATTGCTTACTACATGTACTAAAAAAATATAACATCTATTCTATTTTTAATATTTTATGCTCCTTGGTCTGAGATCCAGACAAATTATTTTCATACAATCTTAATGATTTATTTTTGAATCCAAGAACTTGTTAAAAACATCCTAGAAATGAAAAGAAGATTTATTTAAACAGTGACTTTTAAGGTGTTAATAAACAACCGATGACCCAAAAACACTGCTAAAAATTAAAAAAAATGCAATTTATATTCAAAAAGTCTTAACCCTTACCATGCTAAATATCTTAAATGAACATGTTCATCTTTCAATCTAGACAAAACTATTCATCATTTTCTGGGAAAATTTTCATGAATATCGAACAGTGAAGACCATGATTTAATCAGAGATCCGAAATTCCACTTGTCCGCTCGTGATTACGAGTAGAATTTAAGAGAACTCCATGCAGAACAAGTAGGAAAATTGGTCAGCACTGGTCACATGGGCAGATCCACTTGCTGTCAGAAGCTAAGGATTCAATTCTGAGCAATATAGATATTTACCTCCCAAAAAAGAAGCATAATTAATATCTCCTTTCATAGGTGAGTTGAATACTGGGTATGGGATATTATGTTTATCTACGGCAGCCAGGAACTCTTCTTCCATGAAAATTTCTCCGTCCACAACACATCGCCTGTTCATCTTGGCACAGATTTCAGATAACTATAACAAGCAATGTGTAAACATTTTACAAGGGGTAACTTATACATCCATATCTTATGTTTCCAAATTCTAAATCAACAGTGAAACCAGATCCTACTCGGACCAGACCAACTCTGGTTTTCCAAGAGGATTCCAGTTTTCAGAGGTTTCATGCATTTATTGATTATTATGATGTGTTTGTAAAATGACTTTGTTTAATTAAATCCTTTTGTATTTACTGTTCAACACTTTTGTCTGTCTTAGTCATATTTTCAATTTCTTTTTGTAATAAACATCTTGAGTATTTTGTTTTGCCAATTCATAAATAGAAAATTAGAAATTAAAACAACACCTTATCTGAAATAAATATGTAATCGAAACATTATTATTCATACATATAATAAATGCCGAAATAAAGTTAACTCTAAGATCAATCTTTTAAAAAATCCCAGAAATAACTAGTTTCACATTTTATTAAAAATACGGGCCTTTGAAAATCATCCAGATCTCAGAGGGTCCGGCTTGTAGAGTCTTTACTGTACTTTTTAATTTTAAATTTGAGAGGAACTGCTCAGCAGTTTCAGGTCAACTTAAATTTGGTTAAACATTAAACCTAAGTTATTGTAAAATTTCTTTAATTTTGAAAATTTGACCTTGAACACTTTAATCATTTAGAGTTTAAGGTCATATCAGATATAGCTTAATAAGAGCATTCAATCTGCAAAATTAGAAATTTTCATGAGGGATTAAATTTTGCAACTTGAAGATTTTTGTGTAAATAAATATTTGTATTTACACTGCACTATTTAATATGAACAACACTGAAAGAAAAATTTGTAAATGTTCAACCTTGCAAATTAATTTTAAGATACAGTATTAGAATTTTGGTGTCAAGAAAATATTTTTTTTTAAAGTTTTTGAATATGTCACGGCTAAGGTTTAAAGATTTAAGTTGTCTGTAAGAAGACAGGTAACAAGGTCAATATCAAAAGACAAAAACAATATATCTGCCTATATATCAATGTTGCAGGTCTGGTTTGAGGGGTATTTATACAAGAGGGCCATGATGGCCCTAGATCGCTCACCTGACGACAAGCAATCTGACCAAGTTTCATGACAGGTGAGCCAAAAATGTGACCACTAGAGTGTTAACTAGGATTATCCATATTTGAGCAGTGTGACCTAGTTTTTTACCCAGGTGACATATTCGAACTTGACCTAAAAATCATCAAAACAAACTTTCAGACTAATTTCCAAGATATTTGGATCAAAACAGTAGCCACTAGAGTGTTAACAAGATTTTTCTATTTTTAGCTCCAGTGACCTAGTTGTTCATCCAAGATGACCCATGTTCGAACTCATTCGAGCAATTACCTAGACAAGCATCCTGACCAAGTTTGATGATAATTGAGTCAAAAATGTGACCACTAGAGTGTTAACAAGGTTATTCCATATTTGGCTTGTGTGACCTAGTTTTTCATCTGAGATGACCCATGTTAGAACTTGACCTAGAAATCATCAAAACAAACTTTTAGACCAATTTACAGGATATTTGGATCAAAACAGTAGCCACTAGAGTGTTAACAAGATTTTTCTATTTTTAGCTCCAGTGACCTAGTTTTTCATCCGAGATGACCCATGTTCATCCAAGCTATGACCTAGACAAGCATCAAGACTAAGTTTGATGATAATTGAGTCAAAAATGTGACCACTATAATGTTAACAAGGTTTTTCCATATTTGGGCAGTGTGACCTAGTTTTTGACCCCAGGTGACCCATATTCAAACTTGACCTAGAAATCATCAAAACAAACTTTCAGACCAATTTCCAGGATATTTGGATCAAAACAGTAGCCACTAGAGTGTTAACAAGATTTTTCTATTTTTAGCTCCTGTGACCTAGTTTTTCATCCGAGATGACCCATGTTCGAACTCATCCGAGCAATTACCTAGACAAGCATCCTGACCAAGTTTGATGACAATTGAGTCAAAAATGTGACCACTACAGTGTTAACAAGATTTTTCTAGTTTTAGCTCCTGTGACCTAGTTTTTCATCCGAGATTACCCATGTTCAAACTCATCCAAGCTATGACCTAGACAAGCATCTTGACCAAGTTTGATGACACTTGAGTCAAAAATGTGACCCCTAGAGTGTTAATAAGGTTTTTCTATTTTTAGCTCTGGTGACCTAGTTTTTCATCCGAGATGACCCATGTTCAAACTCATCCGAGCTATCACCTAGATAAGCATCCTGACCAAGTTTGATGATGATTGAGTCAAAAATGTGACCGCTAGAGTGTTAAGGAACAAGTGTGGACGGACGACGGACATTCACCGATCCTAAAAGCTCACCCTGCTACTAAACATATCAAATTACTACATACTGTAACATTGGCCCTGTAGTCATCTGTACGGTTGTCTAATCTACCTATCCTCCTGTAAAATCTTTCAAAATCTACTTCAACACTGATATTATATAGGTGATTATAAAATGATTGCACTTCTTCCAGCACAGGTCTCGTTAACAAATTGCCATCTTTACTCTTCACGATGATCCGTAGCCATGGACCTTCGCTTGTGACTCGCAGAGCATCAAAGTTCTCATAATCAAAATATGGAAAGAGAGTCTCAATCTTTTTCTGATCTATTTCCTCTTGACTTCCTGTGAAAATGAGACATAATATATAAAATATTCATATTGTACTGCAGAATCAAGTTGGGTACCGCTGCTGAAAATTTATCCATCTTAGTAACTAGATCATGACTAGAACAAACTTTAAATGTCAAAATAAGTACTTATACATCATACCTCTGGCTTAAAATATGTCATATTAAGTAATAAACAATAAGCAATAACACTTCTCTGAAACTACAGGTACCAATGTAATAGATAAATATTACACCAGATATCAATACCTCAACATTGTATCAACAATAATGTATTCACAGGACAATAATATCACAATTCATTGATGTACAATGTATAGATAATACGGGACCATCTCTACTGTAGAACTTATGTTAGCTAAAAAATTTAACAAAAACCCTAATAATTTCAGCTTTTTTCATATTTTCTGATAATAATTAATCTATCAATGAAAGGTGTAATGAATATTTATTTCTAGTGGGTTATTTTTTTACCAAAGCAATAACTTTCTTGGTATTGTCATTTTTTTCAAATCCTCTCAAGTTTGTCTTTCATGTACAAGGTAACTGGAATTGCACACAGAAATGCATATTCTTTTGAATTGAATACAAAATGTACATGTACTATAACTTTTGTTAAACTAACCTGAAGGGAGGTAATTCCTGGCATCATTATCTATATCCAACTTTATCATACCAATTCCTAGCCCGGCATTAACAACAATGGAGACAATGAGTACCTTCCAGGCATGTGCAGCAACAAATCTGCCGTACCTCTCAAACACACTTCCTATCTTCTCCTCTACGTATTTGTACACTGTACCACACTTCATTCTAGCAAATAATACCCCCAAAAAAATATAACACAAGTAGATAAGATAGTTGATGTATTTTACAAGTACAGCTAGAACAACCAAAGCTTTGGTGCAAATTATATATAGATTATAGCTATAACTAATAAAGGTTAAACAAAATGGAATGAAATCTTACAATCAGTTTGTACATAAATACATATCCGGCTTTTCTTTACCATGTGACAGTTTCCTAAAAACATTACATTGTGGTAAAATAGATTTAATAATTATAAAGATTTTTTTGATGTCTTTTGTTTCCTTAAACACACCTAAAACTCTACATAGAAATGACTTAAATTGCAAAAACTCAAACTTTCCTGACGAAGGGTGACTTCAGGTGCCTCTCCATGCATTATTTTCAGACACAAATGTTTACTAAAGCTGGATAGCTTTAATGCATGAAAGTATTATTAAGCCCTGATGCATAGTGGTGAGGTGTAGTTGACTCAAAATCAGCAACCATTGCCTCTCAACCAAAGCGGTGGTGGTGAACATCAAATTAATTCTATAATATGGCAAACTGATTAAAAAAAAATACTACTTACCTTCAATGTTTAAGTTTTACAGCAACAGCAGTGTATCAAGTGTATCTCTATTATCAGTCTGCAGTTGTTGTTGGGTTTTGCTTATATCAATAAAAAAATTCCACAATTTAGTGTCTGTTATAATATCATAAGAAAAGAGTATTCTCTTCAACTGGATATTTGAATTTTAACTTTTGTTCCTGAAAAAAAACAAAAACATGTCCTGTAAAATTAAATATTTTCTATCTTGAAGTACTGGTACTTGTACTATTAAAAGGTTAATACATGCAGATACTTTTATTACAGAGGGATAAGAATTAAGCTCTAAAATTAGAACATATTCAAATCCTGCCCCATAATCCTTTGCGCCAGATTCACTGGCTCTTGGACTTGATAAATTTCCGAATTTCGGCCATAACCTAATTTGTTTATATTTTCATCCATTACAGAGAATAATTTACACCTTCTTAATATTTAAAACTTACTTTATACATTTTTGCAACTTCTTATTTGATTACCATAACAAATTTATTGATAACTTGGCAGTGTACATATATACTGTATCAGTAAAATTTCTAGTGTCAAACATGGTTTGAAAAATTTTGCTGAACTAAAATGCGTGATAATAAATAGTGACCACTTTTTCGGTGCGGCTTTGGGGGTTTTGAAAGGGGGCGGCAGTCCCCCTCATCACCAAGAAAATTTTGGACTTGTGAGAGGCTAAAAATGACCCCAGAACGATCATAAGGTAATGTGTAACCAACGCTGAAAAGCATTTGACTCTTTCTCAATCCATTGAGAAGTTGCAGCACTTTGAAATCAATTTTGATGGAAAAAAAACAATGCAAAATAGTGATTTTTGGCAAGTTTGAGATGTCCTTCATTGCCATGGTAACAGAAAATTTAATCCTGAGCATGCTGTTGCAAAGGCAATGGTCCAGTCAACATTTGAAAGCAGTTTTTATAGTGTTATAGCAATTTAAACTTGTAACGGGAGTCTTTTCAATGAAAACAGCCATTTTTCACAAAATGCTTATTAAGTAATGGGTTAATTGTGACTTACATGACTCAATGTTGAATGATATTGGTTCCCTTTTTCATGTTGATTAATATAAATATAATTCATTTAACTGTTAATTCAATGATACTGACAAGAACTTGATTTGTCAAAATAAGATAACCAACAGAATATAAGATTCCAACTGCCTGAACAGGGTAAATAACACGGAAGGTTAACAATTAAATAGTCCATGTATATAGTAAATAATTCCAACTGTTAGTGTTAAACGGCCGGTGTTAAACCAGTGTAAACAACAAAACAAAAGTTTAAAAATTAGTCACTCAAATATACTCAGGCTGTTGTCAAACACACATGCAACATTGGCAATGTTTTGTTAAATATGCTATAGTTATTTGTAATTTCTATATATAGTTTTACTTCCGTTTTGGCATTCTTCCTGCAAAAAAGTAGCATTTTCCTGGAAATTGACAGCTTCTGTTGTTGTTGTTGTTGTTATAATTCGGTGGCGAAAAATTTACTGTTACGTGAAAATCACTCACAGCCGGTAGAAGACCGTCAATTATCATACACGGGGAAATTAATATGATTAAAGCTGACCTCTATTAAATAAAACTACACAGTATTTAATTAAGAACCGTACTGTACTATATCCAAGCCAGATGATAAAATGTATGCCATAGATCTTCATTTTTTTAGAATTTGATTTGACTTTTTTCGGATTCTGATTTGTTCAAGTGGAGGAGATGTATATTGCCCAATGCCCATATACAAAATAGCACAGTGTCTCAAGGCGTATTACAGTAAATTGGACCGATGGTGTGTGAGCTCCTAACACGAACCACTTGACGACTTGATAGGCTAACTTTTAGCAACTTCTCATTGGCCGCCTTACAGCGACCTAATTTTGGCTCAAAATTCATTTTTTGGCAATAATCCATAGGTATTGCATGGAGATAAATTATCACCATTTTGAGCTTCAAAATTATCCCTCAGAGGGCATGCATGACATGTGACATGCCCGGCGTTCGTACGCGACAGTAAAAACTGTATTTGTGTCTTAAAGCTGTGGTCTCACTTACTCCCGGCAGAGCCAAGGACTACCCCGGTAAGTTACTGGGATTATCCGGGACGATCCGGGGTGAAATTATTTTTACGGTCAAACTAACCACCCATGATACGCTCCGGACCATCCAGGCAGAGCCCAGGTGAAGCTACCCCGGTCGATCCAGGCAGAGCCCAGGACGATCCAGCCAGAGTCCCGGTAGAACCCCGATGGATTGAAAACGCGCAAAAATGATTACATTGATACATAATTTTTATTTAATATTATATCCTAGGCACGAAGGATGGAGTTCTTATGATAACTTGTTCAGGAGTTCTTGTGATAAATGTCACGGAGTTCGTCGGAAAACATTTGTATATACTACAAAAACACTCGTCAAAAATGGTTATTTTCAACTTTCAAAAATAAATTTTAGGTGCTAAATTAAACTTTAATGATTAAGCTTGTCATACATCTTGTATTATGTGTCAAAAACTAATTCATAGGCCATTTTTCATCGCCTCTTGCTTAAAATCGGGTAGTTTTGAGTATAATTTCCAAGTCATTTGCCAATTCACAAGTATTGACCTGTTTATTTCTGGTCTTCATCCTTGCCATACATAATTACCTAATTATAATGCAAAATTGTAAACATAAAGCACAGGCTAACAGATTCATACCCGATTTTTCAAATGTCCTGGAGTTCTTGTGATAACTCTGAAGATGTCACAGAGTTCTTATGATAACTTTTGTTATTGCCAGTGTGTTTCTTGCGCTAAATCACGGCACGTTTTAGCGTTTTTATTATTCAATGAGATTGTAAATCATTATGAAATGTAGTACGCTCATCCTTTGCACAAAAATTAGGATATATAATGTTGGTTTTGTGTGTATTTTAGTTCAAGAGATATTATTTTTTACCCTCCTTTCTTTTTACATATAGTATTTTTGCTGACGCAGATTTCGTAGACTGGAAAAAAGGATCTATGTAGAGCATTGACTTACATGATAAAATGCGCTTTGAAATACTCAAATGTTTATTTTTCTGTCGATGTTTTGTCGATGTTTGATGAGTATTTCCCCTATGTAATCTTAGTGGAGGAAACTCTGCTACTTCTGCTGTAATTGATAACGAAAATATATAGTCAAACTTAGTTCGCTCGAACCCGGAGGGACCTGCAAATTTGTTCGAGAGATCGGTAGTTAGAGTCAATCGCAGTTGAGTTTTTATCATGTATCGTACTTTTTTGAGACATGAGTGTGGAAATTATCCTGGTTATATACTTATTTATTATGGTATAAAATTATACAAATTACTTTGCCCTTAGGTAAGGGAAGCATATCTAAATATTGTCTGTTTAAGAAAGGGGGTTGCTTAAAACATGTGAAACTGAGAACAACGTGAACGTTTTGAGACATTTTTGTTTTGTGGTTTAAGCCATGATACTGCTGAATATCAGTGACCGCTGGTTCAATTTTTACTGTAGATGATAGCCCATCACCTTTAATGAGTACCGTAGCTCTACCGGCTATATCATGCCCCGGATCATGCCCGGTTTGTGCCGGCAGAGCTACGGTCCTTCCCCGGTGTAGCCCCGGTCGTTCCCGTCAGAGCTTAGGATGAAGCCGGCAAAGCTATACTTCCCGGATCATCCCGGACCACCCCGGTGATATTAAATATTTTATTCCATCCGGAGTCGAATGCCGGACGTGTTCCCGGTTAATCCCGGACGTTGCCGGCAGAGTTACGGATGTCCGGTCGTACCCCGGTCGTTCCCGGATCACCCCGGACGTCTACCGGAGCTCTGCCGTGAAGTTAGTGAGACTAACGGGCAAATGGAACCTCGTTAAGCATAATTTATATAATTACGTACACACGGAAGTGCAATTTTCAAGAACCATAATTCGAATGTATATAAAATTATCTCCCTTGCCCGGGATATAACTTCTAAAATGCCAGTAAAAGCTCATTGGAACCTAACATATTTTAAGGACTAGTTAAAAGAACTGCAGTGTTTACGGACCATAACTCTACATTACTTTTTTTTTTAATTAACTCCCTTTATTTTATCTAATAATGCTTGTCTGAAGAATAATTTGAAAAGAATTGACGGAACATGATTAAAACTTCACACAGTAATACAGATGAGTAAGAGGAAGTAATGAGTACATAAACCATAATTTATCCGTGCTTATTTTTTAAAAGATTTCCTTTTATGGTACTTAAAATGTTTTATAATGCTTGTCCGGAGTATAACTTCTAAACAATCAATACTATCTCGTTGAAACTTCACATAGTTACAGAGAATAATGTTGGTGATTCGTCTTTTACTTTGCAGTAGTGGGACAATGAGGGTAGGGGGACACCGAGGGCAGGGTCACCGGTGGTAAACATGGATTTTTATACTTTTGCTTACACAGTCTTTATTCACTGACAAATGTCTTTCATTATTTTGATAAGATGTATTGTTTGGTCCCATAACTTTGGGTGAAAGAAGTGATTTCTTAGGTCAAGGACAAAGAGACTGGAATAAACAACAACAGTTTTTTACAGTTTTGCTTAATTTCCCAATTGACTGATGTCCTTCATTTTTTTTATAGGTAGATCTCTAACTTTGGTTTACTTGGGTCAAGGTCGCTGGTGCTTAAAATAGATTTTGCATTTATGCTCATACGTATATACTGATGTTATTTATTGTTTGATTAGCATAGAAATACATTGACAAAATGTATAGGTTCTGAAGAGTCCATCCAAATTTATACAATATCTTTGCGTCAATTTTATTTGACGGACAAACAGTTTCATCGCAATAAAAAGATATCAATGCTATATGTGCCTGCAAAATATGTTCCTGGCAAAACGTTTTACAATTTGAGCCGTGTCACGACAAAACCAACATAATGGGTTTGCGACCAGCATGGATCCAGACCAGCCTGCGCGGAAGTCTGATCAGGATCCATGCTGTTCGCTTACAAACCCTATAACAAGTAGAGAAACTGCGGATATAGATATTTTATTCCTCCATTGAATGAAGAGCAGAACAAGCATACATATAAATATCACACATATATATAAAATTATGACAATTTAACAAATATAATACAGTAGTATGTCAACAAACTAGTCAAATATTTATAACATTGTACTAATTTTTGAGACCACGCAAATGTATTTTGATAACACGTAAACATATTTAACAAATGCAAATATTTAGTGTCAGTAAAGAGGCCAAAGACTACGGACTGAAGTAAGATTTCATTAATTAGTAGAATATTTATTTAGTTACATTTACAAGTGCGCATTCTGGTCTGGATCCATGCCGGTCGCAAACCCATTATGTTGGTTTTGTCGTGACGCGGCTCATTTATGTATGTTACATGCACGCAACTTTTTTTTTTAAATGAACGATTAACTTTAATATCTTGGTTTTGCCTATCTCAGTTTTTTTCAGTCGGTTGATTTACTAATAATTATATAAACATTTTCACCATGTCGGGCATCAATGTGCTAGTCCAACTAATTGTACTGCGCGACGGTATATTGTGCTTTTAAATTTTCGTGTCTGGGCCTCAAGATTCTGACCCAGAACGAAAATATCTCAGAATCAAGCTTTGGCACGTCAATATATTTTGACTATCACTGAGCATGCTTACTAGAAAATATTATGTACCACATAAACATATGAGTTCACATGTTTATCTTTAAAATACATATCCTATTTTCTTCATATGAAGTAGGTTTGATTGTTTTATCTTTATAACTCATAGAATCACTGAATTTGAGCACTCCATATTTAAAATGCGCATTTCTAAAAGTTAAAAGTCGACCGAGCCATGTTTACAATTTATAAAAACAGCCTATGTTAATACGTGTTTATTTCTTAAAATGATAATTGTCCGTTCATTTCATTATTCATGCACATACATACATATAGATATGAACATCGTTTGTGCATGTTAGTTCTCCGCCCTTGCATATACATGTATATGTGTTTTCTTTACAAATTAATTAACTCATTTAACTAGCTAAATATAAACAAACTAATGAAAATTATTTTATCCTAAAAAAATATAGTTTCATCATCAGCTTTATCAATGTACTTATAAACAGGACTTTAATTTAAAAGGCTTACAAGTAAAAAACATGACAGTTTGTAAAATAAGACACGCCCACTCCCGCCCTGCAATAATTTTTGCCGTATAGCTTAAAATAAAAGCA